TGGGAAACAACGACTATCTTAACGACAAACCCCCCCCAGGCCTGTAGGTGCCGGCAATTTCTTAGTACAAGACCATGGAAAATATAAAAAGAGTTAACCAGAAGAATAAATCATATTAGTTTTCGAAAGACACGTTCTATTAGAGAAAAGAACAGATCGCGGCATAGCTATATACATCGAAACAAAACAGACAAGGATAGATGCTATAGCCGCATGTCAAAACAAGGGGAGAATTACTAAATCATACGGTAGACCAAAAGCAGGGGGTCAGGAGAAACCGCCAAGAAAAAAGGAAGCAGTTTCTCTGCCATAAATGTAAGGTGAGGGGAGGGGAGAAATAACAGAAAAGAAGAGAAAGGAATCAAACACCAACACCGACCAAAGTAATCGCAGGATTTTCCCCATCAGACCAGACAAGACCCTTGAATTGGGCTGCAATGAAACGTGAATCATAATGTCACATGCAAAGGAGCACCGTGGACGCGGTTGACTTTTTGGATATGCACTGACCAGTCAGATGCAAATTGTCATTCCAAGCCTCTAAGAGCGCAGCGAATCTCTCATGCTCTGGCTGCTGGCACTGACTGGTGTGGGGAGAACACCGGTGCGGGGCTTGGAGTTCTGCTTGATCTTGGCCACGGCGTAGACAATACCACTGACAAAGCCGACAGCAATGGCGGACACACTGGGGAAGGTGACTGGCGCATCGAAGAAGATGAGACCAGACACGGCAATGGGCAGCTTGTTGAGAGCGCCAACCATAGAGTATGTGGTGGAGGAGGTGGTGCGGACACACCATGCGGATGTGTACGAGATGAAGACAGAGGAAGCACCGGACAGAACCATGGCGAAGAAGATACCGTCACGGTTGGACTCAGGGAAGTTGCGGGCGATGTTGGCGGATGACCAGTCTTCGACCAGCAGGGTGAGAACAATCAAAACGGGGATCGACAGGAGGTTGTTGTAGAACATGGCTAGAGAGAAGGTTATGTTAGTAAACATATTTGAAACAAGGCTGGAAAGAACCACATACTGTCGAAATCCTTGAAGTTGGTCAGCTTGATGCGCTTGCGCATGCCCAGGACATAAGCTGAGGTGCACAGGCAGTTGATCAACATCCAGACGTATCCAGCGTTCAGGGTGGAGACCTTGCTGGAGGTGTCACCGGTGCTCTCCACAGCATGCTTGATATCAGCCCAGGCAGCAATGAGCGAGCTGAAAACCATCAGACCGAAAGAGAACAGAGTGAGGTTAGTGACGGAGCCACCGAACCAGAGAACTTCTCCATAGGCGATCAGGATAATGGTCAAGTTCTTGAAAATAGTGTAGACGGGGATTGAAAGGAACTGAAGAGCCTTGGAACCAGTGTAGATCATGCCGATCAGTAGGAGCGTAATCGGAAACCCTGATATGGAATCTTGTCAGCTGCCGCATCTCTCAGCTTGTGGTAATCGGAGAACATACACTTTCTGGCCTCATCGGTGTTGAAATCACGGTAGGTGATAAGACCCATGGACTTGCAGGTTTGAATTGCGGCAATGCAGACCAAAGACTGGTGATATTAGCAATTCGCCTTGGATGAAGAACTGAAAAAGTCACCACATACCTGGACACAGAGCAAGAGGAAGTTCAGATTGAAATCCAAGCCCGACAGAACATACTTGTTCATCACGGTCATCATAATTGACGAACCGCAGTATGCCAGAACGGGAAGAGCGGGGTTATTGGAGAGGCTCGGACTGGGGCGGGGCGAGGGAGTCGGCGGCGGCGCAGCCTCGAATCCCTTGTTCCCTTGGTCGAGCTTGTTCATTTCGACGGTGTAGTCGTCGGATTTCTTGTCTTCGGCCATGTTGAGCGAGTGGTCGCGGATAGGGGTGATATCGGCTGTTTTGTTGTAAAGGAGGGAACTGAAATGACAGATGGCACCCAGAATATATCCAGGGGAGTCGAGGAACAAGAGGAGGTTGTTCGAGAAGGTGACCGAGCAAAAAAAAGACCAAAGGAGATTTGACAACAACAGATTTCGCGGCCGGAAACAGGCACGTCGTTACCTAAGCATGGCAGTTAGGGGGGAATTGCTACAGACACGGCACGTTTTGCTAGTAGCACGGCACATTAGGTAATATTCCCTTTACATAATCAATTTTGACCGAGATCGTTACCATACATTACCACAGCAACTACATTACTTACTACTGTAGCAACTACATTCTATCTACTACTGCTTCATTACTATAAGAACCCGACCATGAATCAATTCTCTCTAGTCAATCTTATTGTGCTTTTCATCTTATTTACATGCTTTTCACACTCTGCAGGAGCGGATTGTATGGCCAATTTCTCCACAATTTGAGCACTTCGAGGGTGCTTTCTTCTTAGTGACCTTTTGGTTTGATGTTTTGATGTTTTGATCTGATATGTTCTCTTGAGCTGATCTGCGAGTTGGTGGTGGTAATAGAGGATCTAGTATTGGCAGATACATAGATGACTCATTACTAAGGCCAATCCTCCAAAATTGATGGATATCGCTTAGTGGGATTGGTTGATGTTTTGTTAATAAACTAGCGATTCGGTGGGCACACGGAAGGCCCATTGTCCTAGTGAATATATTAGTGCAGTTTGATAAAGGTGCTTCGGGGGTAGCTCTCTTAGCTATAGCAGCTTGATTAGAGATTAAAGATATTGAATATCGTGATGTTCTCTTTATAATATTCGAATAGAGAAAGTGGGAGCAGAAATTTAGTCTCTTAATCTTATCTTCTGTAAGATCAGATTCAAGTCGCTGATACTGAGCCTGTAAAGCATTATTAATTCTCTCAAAAACATGAAGCATATCACCTGAAGATCCCCCTATATACTTTTTTAAAAAAGCGTGAGACCCCTCCACTCTTGATGTAGCCCAGTTACCAAGATGAAGATATTGCCCTACCCAAGCCCTAATAAACATCTCTTTATAGGTTAGCCAAGTACTTTGAATATATCTAAGAGCATTAGGGGCAATTTGATTAAACTGCGTTGTGAACTTAGCTAATTGAGCATTATATTCATCAATATTTGATGAATTAATTAGCTCTTTCTATGACTTGATAAAAGCCTCAAATTCCTCATTTGAAGAGAAATATTGCTTTGTCTTTGCCAGCACATTCTTATTAATATGCCAAATGCATAGTAGATGTGGGCTTCTAGGACAGATAGATTTAATTGTACCTAATAAAGCAAGATCTCTGTCAGTGCAAAGAACTGGAGAAAAGGGTAAGGGGTCAAGCTATGAAAAAAAAGTCTGTAAAGTCCACTTATAGCTTTCTTCCTGCTCATTTTGCATAAAGCAGAAAGCAATACTATAGGATGAATTCGATGGCGAGAGACTAATAATATGTAAAAGAGGCATCTTATACCGATTCGTCTTGTAAGTACAGTCTAATAAAAAGACCCTATTATATTGATTAGCATACTTAATTGATTCAGGGTGAGCGAACATAAAAAATTGAATATGACCTTCTATATCTTGTTTAAATGCATATTTCCATTGATTCTGAATTAATATCTGTTGAAGAAGTTTAAGAGGTAAGTGATTCCTAAGCTTTTTCTGTCTTATACTACCTCTTATATTATAAATATCTTTTGGTCTTATTAAGATATCAGGTTGATCCTTTCTTAATAGACTTATAATATGCTGCGGTCGAGATCCAATATCTGATAGATGTTTAATAGTTTGATTTTGATCTTTAGTAAGCTGTGGACGCCTTGCCATAGGATGCCCTATCATATTATTAGTAGCTGCATGATTATGATTAGGATTTCTTACCTGGATTTCCCATTGATTAGTATCAACAAGCTTCTTTGCATAAAGGCGGAATGGGCAGTTCATCCGTCTAGTACTTGTCTTCCGGCGTTTTGCCCCTTCTGGGGCATCAATATGATCATGGTATATACCGCCTCTATCACAACCAAGACAAATATTCCTCTCCTTAGCGGAGTTGATGATAGTGATAGCATAACCATGAGATAGGGCATGCTGTCGTATCGAAGTAAGGAGTTGCTCTCTAGTCTCAAAGACTTGCTCAATTGGTGGCTCCATGATTAGGTGAAATCAAGTATCAATTGGATGAAGTAAGATCAATTGGATGAAGTAAGATCAATTGGATGAAGTAAGATCAATGAGAAGATAGAGTGGTTCTTATAGCAGAAGTAGATAGAATGTAGTTGCTACAGTAGTAAGTAATGTAGTTGCTGTGGTAATGTATGGTAACGATCTCGGTCAAAATTGATTATGTAAAGGGAATATTACCTAATGTGCCGTGCTACTAGCAAAACGTGCCGTGTCTGTAGCAATTCCCAGTTAGGGGGTGCTGAGTCAGCATTTTATTTATAGAGTGAAACATCGCATGTACTATTGGAGTACAATATATATGTACTTGAGCTGCCGCCGCTTTAATGAGGGTGCTCAGGCTCAGGCTCACTGAGTAGATCTCAGCACGGGCTCAGATCAGTGATCATACTCAGGCCAGTCACGTGCAGGATTACTGATGCTCAGTGATACTCAGCGTCTACCTACCTAGTTAATCAGTGAGCAACACTAATACACTCAGCCCACCTCAGACTATACCTAGAAGGGATTAGCCCCTACAGGGTCGTTTATGCTATAATAGTTATTTCGTTGATAGTATTGCTGCTACTCTCATTTTCCGCAGTACTATACCTTACTAAGAAAATCAGGGTAGGCCGGCCAATCACTCTTTTGAGCTGCTGAAGAAGATATCGATTGTAGAGATGTATGCTATTCGACGCACTCCCCTTTCCCTCCAACCCAACAGCCTCCTTCTTTCCCCCTCTGATTCCCTCCATGTACAATCGCAGCTATGCTCGCCAAAACCTCGAAGAGTGTAACCCCACAAGTTTCTCTTCTCTGATTCGTATCTCAATACACGTAGCGGAATTGAGGATTCTAGTATGAGAAGATAAGTAAAAGTCACTTCGGTGTTTTGGTCCCGATATCGTACCATTCGATCTGTAAGATCATCGTCAAATGCATGATCATAACTTTCCATTATTCCCGTTTTGTCTCGTCGATTATTCTCCCTGACACACAAAATTCGATAAAGCAGCGTAAGAACTGCTGCCGTAGACTGTGTCACGACAACGATCGTCCAGCCTGATATATAGCGCGGCGCATCATCGGACATGAACATCAATGGCCCGATCACATTGCCAACACTGTAAGCAATGAAAATACCAGCAGAAGTAAAGGCACGCTTGGTATAACCGGCCGTGTTTGCAACTTGTATGATCATTAGGGTGACGTAGGCCCCTCCAAACGAACCCAAGAAATAGACTCCCAGGAGGAGTCCTCCTAATTCTGATCGGGGCAGCAACCAGAGAAGGAGGCTCGAGATGATCGTCAGGCATTGACAAGTGATGACAATATATGTTCTCACGTTTTTGTACTTAAAGGCCAGGTATGGGCCTACCAGCTGGATGGTCCCGATGATGAAACCAAACGGCGTTAGGAGGAGGAGTGAGACTAGGGGAGTGAATCCAAAGCCATTGACGATTATAGCCTGAAAGGTTGACTGGGGCCCATTTGCAATCATTGTGAGCAACGCAATGAATATGACGAGCCAAAATCGCAGGTCGGAAAGTGCGTCTAATATTTGGGATCCCTTGAAGTGGACGTTGCGTACACCAGTGTTGTTACTTTGTAACCTTGCTACGGCGATATATCTCTCACGCTCCGAAAACCCACTGGCTCGAGTTGGGTCTCCTGGGAGAAAGAAAAGGACAACGAATGACCAGAGTACGGTCACTCCACCGGCACATATGAACATGTACTTCCATGGTGATAAAGGTCCCCCGAGTTGTCCTAGCCCAAAGTTGATGAGAGGGGTAAACATTGAAATGTAGCCTGTATCTGGAATGAGTGGGGTTCAACTGGAACTTGAGGAGAGTGTCCCACCAGTAAAACAGTACCAGATACCCATGCGCAGCGCCTGCTCTTGCTTTTTATACCAACCTCCTATCACAAGCATAAACATCGGAGCGATGGCAGCTTCAAGGAAACCAAGGAAAAATCTCTGCGCGTAAAACCCCCGGAAGTCAGTACATGCTGCCGCTAGCATAAGGACTCCTCCCCAGAGCAAGATTATGCCAGCGCCTACGCGCTCGATGGGGAAGCGCTGTGCGATGTAGATTGTAGGGTACGCTCCTGCAATCCAGCCAAGATAAAATATGGACGAGGCCATGGAATATCGAATTCCAATGAACAATTCAAGGTCTTCTCTGAGACCGAAAATTGCCTGGAATTGATGCTAATCAGTATCGATAATGCGGCAATATTGTAATTATTGTTCACCTGAGTGGACTTACAGCCTGGGAGAGCAGTGTCTTATCATAATACTGCAAGCCATATGATAGAGCCATGATAGGGAGCAGCTTTCTGTCGATTTTCCGGGTGAGTAGCTTCTCTTCCTCTGGATCCCATTCCCTATCACCGGCGTACGTCGCCATTGATTTCATCGCCTCATCGCCGTGTATGGTATCAACTGCGGGGAGCTTAACATTTTCAAGATGCGCATGCGTACTTTCTGACCCGTGGAAGGGGCCATTGGCGAGCTTCATGTCGGAAGACATCTTGAAATACTCGATGCGATTGTTTGCATTTCTCAGAACAGAAAATCGCTAATTGGAGACCAATTGGACTAATGCTATTTATCATGGCATTTATCTCGTATTCCCTCGGCAAATACGCAATAAGTCGGCGCCGAAAACTAAGTTCTGCTTTAAGCGACCAAGACTTGATAGAGGCCGTAGCTCACAATAGTTATTGGCATGCTACTTGCCTCATATTCTTTCAGCGAAGGCACAGCGAGTCGCCGCCGTCAAAGCCAGATTGGGTTCAGATTGCAACCACTTTATCACACGCAGTAATCGTAAATTATCTTTCTAATAGATACTGTAGGTAAATGGAGCGAAGGTCGAACTCCGCTGCCGAGGCGGCAGTGAAACTGGCTTATTCTCGGCGGTGCTGGGTCCGCACCGCCGAAGAACTCGCCCAGCCGTCTATTTAAATCTGGGATGTCCTAATCTACGATGTGGAAGCTACTTGGCTCTCACATTTCTTGCTAGTAAATTTTTCGATACCTCCTCTGAAGCAACCATGGATTTGCAATTCGAGTCAGCAAATCTTACCATTGACAGGAGTGGGAAAGTTTACATCATTACCATGAGGATGGGCTTTGAGAACAAGTTGAACACCAAATTTTGTCAGGAATTAATCAGTGCCTTTGCTTGGATCCGCCGTAATATCGACCCAGGCTCTGAGGGAGCTGTTATCACAAGGGGAAATAATGCTAAGTTCTACTGTACAGTGAGTAGATAATGACTACATCTTTGTGTCGCGGACTGACGATTGGGTCCATAGGGGCTTGACCTCGAAGAAGCAGAACAGAATCCATTTTCGAACACTGATGGGTTCTACCCCGTATGCCGTTGACTTGTCTAGACTCTGGAGACGAAATTATCTGACTTACAAGGGCATTTATTAGCTCTTGCACACGATCCTCGACTTTCCCTTTCCAACGATTGCTCTTGTTACTGGACATACATTTGGTGGCGGTTGCCCACTCACCCTTGCACATGATTATCGCATCATGAACAGGGACAGAGGCTTCATGTGTATGCCTCCGGTTGACCTTGGTATGCACTTCCCCGGTATGGGCATACTCCCTCGCCTGAAACTCCACCCGCCGGTTGCACGAAAGTTGTTATTGGAAGGCCATCGCTTCACCGCAAAGGAGGCACTGGCCGATGGACTGGTTGATGCCATTGCACCCCCAGACAAATATCTGGATGTTGCCCTGGAACTCGCCAAAAAATGGGCCCCGAAGGGGAAGGCTGGGTAAGGGGTCCACGAGCACACCATTAACACCACTTCATTCATTGTTGCTGACAACCCGTCTATCGGCAGGATTTACGGATTATTGAGAAATGAACTATGGGGAGAAATGGCGCGGCAGGTACAGCAGATAAGCTATGTCCACAGTCGCCCAACATTTCTACCAGGAAGGTCCAAGATTTGAAGGGGCGGGTACAGAACAGAGCATCGAAGCCATCGAGATGCAGTTGAAGGCGAATATAACCAGATCCAACGAAGTCCTGTGTTGGATTTAAACATACCTTACAGAGATATGCGCGAAGTAGAACTAGAGTCAGAATTATAATCTCAGACCCTCAGAAAGCACAAATTCCCGCTTCCTTCGCATCGCGAGCACGAGATATAAACTAGGTGGATAATCTATGTCGCGTCCTATGTGCTCTATAGCTTTAGATCTCCACGCGGCCACAGCCGGGACCAGTACGCAGTATCCGAACTCCCATGAGTGCAAAGCAGTCGCGCGGTGTTTCATTCTTGCAAGAAGGTTTCCAAGACCGATAAGCTTGCGGTATCAGTGTACTCAAGAAGTTCAAATCTCCTGAAATCACAAATCCTCGGACTATCTGAAAAACGACAAGAGTATTTCCAGATCGTAGGTAATGTCCAGATCAATTCGCAGCTAGCCAGCACACATCACGCTATTCAACCATATCATGAGAACAGTCTTACTGATAGGCTGACTTGGCGTCTGACTATTACGGATTAGTAACAGAACAAGGGTTTCAAGGTTGAAAGAAATGTTAGCTAATAACTCGACGAATGAAAAGACATATGGTGAGCCTAGAGTTCATTTCCCGAGCAAGTACGCCGACAGCCGATGAATACTGGTGGGTGTCCACTTACCCGGCTTATTTCGTAGTATTCGACGCCGAGCTAGGAGAGTGCCGCACAGGCGCGGGAGGATCATGCGCTACCCATATCCACCCATTGACCCCAGGACGAGTCGGGATTCGGCGATCTCAAAGAGCGGCATAGAATATTCCACGGGCCCTTTACCGTCGATTTATCCAAGGCGCAAAAAGCTGAGACCCATATCACGTCGGATGAATTCAGACCACCTCTTGACATGGGTTGAGGGTTAAGGGCACCATTTGATCATCTTGAACCCTGAATAAGCAAATACCTCGTGAGGTCGGTTCATCGCGGTCATTCTGGTCGACAAAAGAACGAAGAAGTATGCATTCAAGCTCGGATTCAAAACCTTTCAAAAGGGCATCGGTTGCCTGTGCCCGGTGTCGTGGGCGCAAAGTGCGCTGCGATGTTGCGATCAATGGTAGGTGGTGTACCAACTGTCGACTTGATGGTGTATCCTGTGTGGTCGTCTATGCCAAGAAGACTAGGAGGTTTGTCCGACATGAGAAGTCCGTTCTTCCATTCACTGAAGTCGATAGCGAAAGACGGATGGGCACAGTTGCCGCTGAGCGCGCAGCCCCAACCAAAGGATCAAGGCGATCTGAGCGGGCTTTGGCAGACCATGCCAGTCTAGCGACTGATTGTGGGGTGATACCTAACCCCAAGGGTGGGATACAAGCGTCTTCTCACCGAATAGACGGAAGTGAAGAAGGTATAGGTATACAATGAAATCTTTCCCGTAACCTACGTAGGATACAACATTGTCATGCTGCTGACACGCATTTAAGTGGCCACAAACATCGTTTCGAGCCACGGCAGCTGTCCAGATCCGAGCACCCACGAAATATTCCCGCAAACTACCCTCAGGCACTGTCAAAAGATCAACAATGAGCCATACACATCTCATAACATTTGCAGGGAATTGGATCTAAGTAGCCTTCCCCGAACAGATGCTGAGTTTCTTGAAAAGAAAGGTTGCTTTCATCTTCCGTGCAGGTCACTACTTGATGAATTCACCAAAGTATATTTCCAGTTTGTGCACCCAATGCTTCCTGTTATTGACGAGGAGACTTTCTGGGGCACCTATAATCCCATGGATAGTGATCCGGAAAAATCCCCCTGTTTGTCACTTTTTCTACTCCAGGCAATGCTTTTCGCAGCTTGTGTAGTAAGTACACCTGGGCAACCATGCCAACCGGATGTTTCACCAAGTTAACTGTATTGAAAGCACATATCCCCCCATGTTTCGAGGGAGATGGGCTTTTCAACCATCCGCACTCTACGTGATTCTTTTTACCATCGGGCTAAGGTAAGCCAAGACGGTCACAAACTGAAATGACGTGGAATCACTGATTCGAGAATGATAGCTTTTGTACGATTTTCGCACCGAGTCTGATGTATTGCAGTTGACCCAGGGTGCATTGCTTTTAACCTATCAGGGAAACCAGGCTGGTAGGGTTTGGCTGACAAACGCCATTCAGCTTTCGGTTTCTATGGGAGCCCACCTCTACAAAGATCTTCCAAATGATGAGCAGTCGCAAAAGGCCACAAAGAAGCGTATATGGTGGTGTCTCATCCGTCAAGATCGATTCATGGCATTAGCACTCAGACGTCCTGTCCAAGTCCTGCCTCATGTTTTTGACACGCAGGTGGCAAAACTTGAAGATGGTTTTGAGAGTATTTCGATTTATTCAGAGACGCCTGACCAAAGCACGAAGCCGCGGCTAGAAGGGACGTTCAATGTTCAATGTTGGCTCGCAGTTGTGCTCACCGAGTTAATTATGCTGGTGTATTCCCCTCGCAGTATCTACACCACTGGAAAGATGGAAGTGTCTGACGTATTGGCTCTGGTCGAGAAGGTCCATGCCGTTGAAGCTGGTATGGCATTGTGGCTACAGAAAGCCACGGAGACATTGAACCATTCTTCCATCATGACTGGAGGCTGCTATGAAACAGTCAACGCAACCTCACAAACAGTATATATATACTACCAGTAGGTCCATTCCGGAAAACAAAAGTTTACACGGCCCATCTCTGATATTGGAAAGCTCTGGCCAGATTGCTCTTGGCCAGTATAAAGCCTTCCTTGCAGAGCTGTATCCAGCATATGTCGAGAACATCCCGGCACTGGGACAGGAAAGAGTTTGCAGACATATTTATGATGCTGTCTCATCAGTGAACTACCATGTCAGACAGCTCATTCTTCGCAGGGTGGTCCATGCCGTTTCTGCAGATATGTGCGTGAATCCCATTGTTCTCTCAATTTCCAAGGTTTATAGACACGGGGAAAAGAAAATACCGGGGCTGACTTAACTTTCAACAGAGTTTTATATACAGCGTTTCCCATTTTATGTCTAATGATCGACGTTCAACTTGCATCCTCAGCTGGCCAGTTAGAAGAAGCTCGGCGTCTTTCCATGTACAGTTTGGAAATACTCAAACATTGCGAGGAACGCATCCTGGAAGGAGATGATGTCTTGTGCTTCATTGCAGCAGCTTTCAAGCGTGCCCATGGGTTACTAATCCGTCAATTACCCTCCGACTTGATAACAATGGGGGAGAATACGGGCTATCTCTCCCCAAGTGAAGACTCCATGAGCGATAGTCAATTATTTTCAATGGACTCTTTCACGACGATTTACGAGTACCTGAGACGCCATGAACCTCTCCCCCAACATAGCGTCATGCCACAAAGTTGGGATGACCTTCTTTTGCACTATCCACGACTCTACCTCCACCTTTCGCTGTTCCTGGACACTTGTATCTCTCGGAATTCACTCCCAAAATCCTACGACCTGCCGAGATTGGTTCGTAACTTTGATGATGGGCGTTCAGAGGGTCGCACAAGCCTTCTGGAAAGTGTTCCCTATGGATGCTTGGAAGATAGACAGATTTCGCCCGAAAATTCCGTGACGCAGTCATTAGGAGATTCTGAGGCCACAGGGGAAAGTGACATTCTTGCCATGAATTTGTTGCAAGACATCTTCTCGCTTGGAGACATTACGATCCAGAATACTGCCATGGACAGTTCACATTTTGACCTAGAAGATTATAATCTGGGAACCATTGCCTTTTTTGGGGAATAGTTACCCATCAAGCTCAAAAATATCAATCGTGTCACATTCAGTGATGTAAATTCACACCCAGAAGCCGGTGAGCTGGCATTGACGGGTATGTGCTGTCTACTACTCACAGCGTGACATCCTCCGTAGAACGAAACCCACTGTCGCTGAATGACCCAATGGAGATCGAGGCCATTGGAGAGAACAATAATACTGCAGCCTGTAATGTAGAGTGGCTTCATGAGTACTTTCTTTACCCCTAGGCCCTACGCCTAGTCACTGGTGTGGGTTGTAATTGGCATCATCACCCCGTTCCCGCGGGTCTTGTCGAAAGACCCAGAATTGGACCACACGAGTTGAATCTGTATTTCATTTGTTCCACGATTGAAGCCACAGCCGTGGTGAAGACACCCAATTGCACGACTAAGAGTCGAACATAGTGGGGGCTAGGTTGGAACATGGATGGGGTATGGCCTGTTCCAAATTCTAGATTCAATATAAATTTCGTTGACCAAAAAAGGGATTGCGACCGAACATGGACACTATGTAGGTAGAAGGAGCAGGAAGCTACGGGTGAGGATGATCCCGGGAGGAAGGTTGAGTATTGGAAAGGGGTAGGAGCTCTGGATTTGTTCATGTTATGGATGCTACCTAGGTAGGTCATGTTTGTGCTGACAAAACTAAGCACACGACTCGTAATAGATCAATTGCCTTTGTTCCGTTTCTTAGTCTGGTCCAGAAAGTCAAGAAAAGCCTCCTGACACTCCGCAGCCCGATCAACATATATCTCATGACCCTTCCCTGCGATGGGTACCAATCTGGCTCCATGGATTAGATCTCTCAGCGCTTCCTGGTCCTTGAAGCTGGTATTTCCACTGTTCGTCGGCGCCAGGATTAGAGTTGGGGATTTAATACCGGACATCATGGGTCGGACATCAAGATTGCTCAGAAATTCCGCATATCGCGCAAATCCTTCCCCCGTGGAGAGATCCATCTGGTCGAGCCACCAATTTTGATAGACAGGGTCCGATTGTCCGATTCCACCAGGGAGATTCGCCATTCTCCTGTTGAATTCGCGAGCACCTAATTTCCGGCATGCAGTAGGCCAATCCTCGAATTCTAGTCCCCAGCGTTTCTTGGCGTCGGGTGGTAAATAGGAAGGTGTGGCGCAAGTTGTCAGGGTGAGGACCCGTTCCGGATGCCTTTCTGCGAACGCTATCCCAATCATTCCACCAGTAGACTCGGCAAGGAGATGGATTTTGGCAACTTTCTCTTGGTCTAGGAGATCTACGATCTCGCTCAATATGGTGTCGAGGGAGTAATCATAGTCAGCGGATGGATCGCTCGACAAGCCATGTCCGCGAAGATCACGTCGAATGACACGGTATTTTCTTGCAAGTACCGGGATCCAATGGTACCAGAAGGTAAAATGGCGGCCAAAGCCGTGCTGTATGAGGATAGTCTCGGTCTCTGATTGCCTCCACGGGTCTGTAAAGTCATCGACAATGTAATGAGTAGTTTGTCCGTTCGCATGGTGGACGAATTGGCTATGGGGGGTCGATGTCTTGGGCATTTTGGCGACCTGCGATCACTGAAAAACTTGCAAGTTCAATAGTCTCTACTGGGGTATCTCGGCCCTTATAAAATGACCGGGAGCTCATTAGACCGACTGGAACGACCGAGGTGTGCGGACGTGATGGTTGATACCATTTCCCTAAAGCCGAAGGCCGACAGAAAGAACCTCCGACATTCCCATCTACAGAGAAAAGAAAAAGTATTACACGAGCGAAAATCGGGGCTGTATTTACCCGATTGAATTGAGCAACTAGTGTACACGCAATCGGGATTTTAAATTATTGCACCACCGAATAACCATTGCTGATGCACAATCAATTGTCAATATCATAAAACCCACCGTCGTTAACAACCAACGCCCCATTCATATAGCTACTCTCGTCGCTCAATAAAAAGCTCACTAGGTTTGCTTGCTCCTCTGCGAGTCCCATACGATGAAGAGCAATCTTCTGATTAAGAGGAGATTCCGCATTCTCTCGGGTCCCTGGAACTGCAACATTGCCAAGGTGACGCTCCGTCATTTCTGTGACAGTCCAACCAGGACAACAGCCATTGACCCTAACTCCACTTGGACCGTAGAACTTTGCACCATTTTTGGTTATCCCCGCTGCAGCATGCTTGCTGGGGGTGTAAGCTCCAAGGCCCAGTGATGTCAGGCCAGAAATTGAGACAACGTTCACAATTGACCCACGTTGAGCGGGGATGGGATATTCCGACGGAGGACTGAAGATGACCTCTCTGGGTTCTTGCCTCTCCATCTGCTGTGCTTCATACTTCTGACATAACCAGAGACCGCGAGCGTTGACTGAGTAGACTCTACAGAATTAGATAAAAGAATAAAAAGAATAAAAATAACACAAGGGAACTCGGGCAACATACTTATCGAACCATTCAGTTGTGATGCTTCTTTCCTCCGAAGCAATGGTCTCACAGATCCCCGCACAGTTCGCAGCGTAGTCAAGCCTTCCAGTCAAGGATGCACTTGCATTGACTGCACGTTCGATGTCCTGTTCCTTCGAAACATCCGTCTGGAGGAACTCAACCCGCACGTTGTATTTTTTTGCAATCTCACTTGCTGTGATATGTCCCCGCTCTTTGTTGAAATCGGCTATAAGCAATGAGATCCCCCGAGATGCAAGTTTCACGGATATGGCTTTTCCTATGCCACTGGCGGCGCCTGTGACCAATGCAACAAGTTCTTGCTTCATTTTGGTGCTCCTGGTAAGCGGATGTCGAAGGGAGAAGGGAGAATGGGGGAAAAAACAAGTATTAGAGATGGTGAATAGCTCGCAGAGAGTGGGACCTTTCCCTTGCGCTCCCCTCGAACTAAATCCGGGGTAAATATGTGGACGAGCCAAAGAAATTAACCGAAAAGCATCTCGGCGCCGAAGTACCAATGCTCCGGCTTTGGGGCTTCAGATCAATGCCGAGGTTTCTACCTGTCTCGATGAAAATAATTCCAAATCGACCGGGCAGATGTTACAGCATACGGGGTATCCTTCATCTTAGCTTCATAATGCGTCCTGTGCTACGTGATTCGAACTTGTAGAATATCTTTCTACCGCTTCTCTCTCTATTAGACCGGTGCTGAGCGACCTGACAAATCTCGATTTCGGTTAACGCTATCTATCTCAATAACTCTTACTGTATCCCTGAACAAGATGGGCGAGTCAACCCCTCATCATATTCCCTGTATGAATGCACTGGCAGCCAAGTATGGTTGGCCACAAGAAAACGAACGTGGCTACCGGATTACCGAGTCTCTCGCTGGCACCAAACGCCCCATGAGAATTGTGCACGTAGGGTGCGGTGCAGCTGGAATTTGTCTCGCGAAATTCATTCCAGATCGTGTGGAGAATGTCTCGTTTGTGTGCTACGACAAGAACTCAGACATCGGAGGCACCTGGCTTGAGAACCGATACCCTGGATGTGCTTGCGACATTCCATCTCCAGACTACCAGTTCACGTGGGCGCGAAATCCCAACTGGTCGAATTTCTATTCAAGTTCGCCTGAGATTTGGAAGTACTTCAAGCAAGTAGTCGACCAGCATAGTCTTGGCAAGTTCATGAAGCTCAATCACAAGGTTGAAGGAGCTTACTGGGATAGTGAAAGAGGGAAGTGGAAGGTGCATGTGCGGGATCTTCTTGTCGATAAGACGTTCATTGACGAGTGCGATATCTTCATCAATGGAGGAGGCATACTGAATAACTGGAAAATGCCTGAAATCGACGGACTGGAATCCTTCAATGGTCTTCTTGTTCACACGGCTGCTTACCCAGAAGGCACTGACCTCAATGGGAAGCGTGTTGCAGTGATTGGAATTGGTAGCAGTGGCGTGCAGGTTATCGCTAAAATCGCTTCGCAAGTTTCTAAATTGTATACATGGGTCAGATCACCGACATGGATCACTACAGGGTTTGCGCAGAAATATGCTGGTGAGGGCGGCCAGAACGTGACGTATTCGGCAGAGCAGAAGAAGCAGTGGAGAGAAAACTACCCCGAGTATCTCCAATACTGCAAGGACATCGAGACGGAGCTCAACCAGAGATTCAAGTTTATCCTCACTGGCTCTGAGGATGCGCAATCCGCCCTTCGATTCTCTGTCGACGAGATGAAAAGTAAGCTCGCTGGTCGGGAAGACTTAATTGAGAGCCTCATCCCCACTGAATTTGGCATTGGTTGCCGACGCCCGACAGTATGTATTTCACTCCTCCACACCTTGGCTATTTACGCTAATCCAAAATTCTGACATACTAGCCCGGAAATGGGTTTTTAGAAGCCCTGACACTTCCTCATGTCCATACCTTCACTAAGAGTGGAATAGCTCGCATCACGGAAAATGGGTTTGTTACAACCAATGGAGAGGAGCACGAAGTAGATGTGATAATTTGCGCTACGGGATTTGACACCACCTGGGTTCCTCGATTTCCTATCGTCCATGACGGCCGGAATGCCCAAGATTTCATGCGTGAGAGAACCTTGTCGTATCTTGCGATGGCGATTCCAGAAGGTTAGTTAGCCCCCATCGCATATTCAAATTGGTTGTGGGACCTGACTAAATGCCCGGACAGTTCCTAACTACTTCACGGTTGGCGGTCCCTACGGACCCGTCGGTCATGGAAATACACTCATGGTCAATGAGCGCTTGATCAGTAACATACTCAAGATCGTGGAGAAAATGCAGCTCGAAGGCATAAAATCGATCCGACCAAAACTCGGAGTCTGTGAAGACTTTGAAGAACATGCGCAACTATTCTGCAAACGGACTGCCTGGGATGGGAAATGCGCCAGTTGGTTCAAACAGGGTAAGAAGGATGGCAAATTGACCATTTGGCCTGGATCACGACTGCTCTTTTTTGAAGCCATGAAAGACCCTCGCTACGAAGATTACGATATTGAATATCTCAGTGGTAACACCTGGGGTTGGTTAGGTTGTGGCTTCACTCTGAAGGAGTATGATGGAAGTGATATTGCCTACTACATTGGAACTGAGGAGCATCCTGGGGCGATGCTTCCTGAGGAGAGTGCAAAGACCGAGTCCAGGGCCCCATGGGGAGTACCAGGAAATTTGTAAATTGAGTCAACATATGAGAGCAAAACACCACCATACATATCTTTTCATGTTCCTTTGATCATTGTGGCAGGCCTAAAAAAAAGCCTACCCGGAACAATAATGCTTGCTAAATCCCATTCTTTTAGTAATGTTGGTATCATCAACTAGGTAATGTGTACACAGGCAAGTGGACAGCATATATGCTTGGAAAGCAAAGTTCAATTAATTCATGTAGATCAATGTAGAAACTCAGTCTAGTTGGGACAGCACCCCTAGATCCCACACACCGGCCCTCGGCGGTCAAAATACCGGAACCGCAGCCCAGCGCAAGAATGCGTACACCAAACAAGGAATGTTATCTAACTATCGTTAGCAGTGAGTCAAATCTGGTTTATTCTAACATGAGGATAAGTCCCGACAGCTAACCTGGAAGAATTTCCTTTGAGGCAGGGCTTATACTCCATATCATTGACCAGGCTCTGTTTGCCTGCTTGTCTGATCTATAGGCTGAGCCCAAATCTTTTCTTTTCTGAATTATCCCAGACAGGGTCATAGTTCACATGCAGGGCCCTGAACTATTGGTAGATAGTATATTGACGTACGTCCAACGATCAGCATGTTAAGTTGTTAACAAGGGGTGCACGATGAAGGCTCTCATTGCAGGCCTTATCCCATATCTCATCTCTCCGATAGCTCATTGTAACCAATTACGCGGAGAGAACTAAATTCCTGTCTGTACCTGATCAGAAACGACCTTCCAGCCCACCGTAGCTTCACGAGGGGCCTGAAGATTGGCGTGCTGCACGCGGTGCTGTGTGGAGAAGTAGGTCAACCCGCTTGCCAGCCTCCAAGTTGGGCTAATGATAGGCACGAAGCTGATCAACCGATTTACGGATATACTGAGCACAGGCCGGGTTATTCAGAAGTGATAATCCGCTTGGGGAAATCGGTTGTTGATATTAGAGTTTGTACGAGCCCCATTAGTGTCGAAAGGAGGGAGCTAACACTGTGGAATCGAATAGTGAGATGACCTGCCACCAATTAAAGCAAGCATTTGACCAATGTGAGAATGAGAAAGCCGAATCCCACTCGGCTTTATCATCGTCGTTAGCCGAGATATCGGGAAAGCACGGCAAATGATTTAGAGAGGGACTATTCCCCGCGTGATTGATACCCTTTCGTTGGATAAAAATCGGCAATCAAAGTGACGAACGAGATCTCCCCCGGTTCTTATCAGGATGTGCATTTCGTCTAGAATTCATGAAATGGTTATCTACAACCGAGAGGATCCGGGCGATTCGTACCCAGACGCCACGATGGCCTGGCAAAAAGTAAAGCAAACGAGATCTACTAGGAGCCCAGAAAATGGCATGGTGGAAAATTCAAAGAAGGCACCGACCATTTCAACACATTTCCGTTCGTCAGTTAGGCGAACCGGCAATGCGATAGTCATTTCTCTCCGCGGAGCGGATCTACAATGGCTGCTCTCGGAAATTCAAGGATGTCGAGGATCCGATCCCACCGTTCAAATTATTTTCAACGAAGACAAAAGCCCGCCTCAGCCATCAAACATACCGCACGCCAGCGAGGAGTCGTCCCTGACTCCTAATATCCTCGATACTCTACGAGTGACTCCTTGCGAAAAGAACTACCTGGAACGTGTGAGCGGCGGCGATGGTTCAACAAAAACGGATTTACCAGATATTGAAGAGGATTGTGCATTGGATCCTCGGGCCATTGAGGCGTACATGATCTCCACTGGCTTGTCGGACACTGAACCTGAGTGGAATGAATTTACTACTTTCTAATGCGGCCGGTTTTATACTGTCATATAGAATAATCTCCACTACAAATCTTTGAATACACACATTGCCTCCTGAACAGGCTTCTTTCGGTCCATTGTTTTACACACATGATATCTACGAAGATTATATGAGCTCAATACCATCATTAGATCATTTTGGTATTTTTCACATATCCATAGTATTGTGACTCCATGATTCAATCTATAATAGATCAGTGGTTTCATTAGTATATAGAAGTCCTTGTATTGAATAAGAAAATCGTCGGCAGCAACCTTCTCAACCTGAAAATCCAGGCAAGGCTACTTAGTTTGTTATTCTCTTTTTTTTGTTAATGCTCAGGTACGAAAGATGCTCAAAATAGCTTGTGCGTTACTTGAGAACCGATGCTTTCATTCCCCGAGGACATGTGAACAAGATGGCAAGTATTCTGCATTCTCCTTCTTCCACTATACAAAACAATGAGTATCTCTACACAACCCTGCTAGATCCGCGCTGGAGAAACCTCGTTTTCAGGTTTGCTCACTCTTCTTCAGCTGAGGAAGAAGACTTCCAGGATTTTCCCTCGTTCCCAGATAATGAGACAAATCCCCCCCATTGAACTCAATTGTCGCAAACCCATTGCCTAAAAAGCCAAATGGATTACCACTCCAATACTCAATCTCATAGTCTTCAAATCTCGGCTCGTTCATAACCTCAAAGTAGACCAGGCGAGACCCAGGCCACATGGTCAGACGGCCATCTTTTTGACCATTCTTGAACCAGCTTGAGCAAGGCCCGGACCAGGCAGTGCGTTGAACATAAAGGTCAGCATGTTCGGCAAACTTCTCGCAGACGTCACGTCGGGGCGTCAGAGATTTAATGTTTTGCTTTTGCATCTTGCTAGCAACCACAGTGATGTTTCGAACCAGGAGCTCAGACATGGCAATATAGGAGCCGTGACCAAAGGGCCCATAAGGGCCACAGATGGTGAAGTAGTTGGGGACTGTTAATGTCAGCGCGAACATTTTTTGCGCAAAGATATCAGTTGTACTCACTGTCTGGAACTGCCACGGACAGATACGAGAGTAATTTCTCGCGATGCATGCTTTGGACATTCTTGCCCTGCGCGATGACAGGGAAGCGAGGCACCCACGAGGTATCAAAACTGAGGAACTCTTAGCCGCAAACACGATATATTTTATGAAGATCCACTGTATCTTACCCAGTAGCGCAGATCAGTATGTCTATCTCGTGATCGTTGCCTTCATCATCAATAAATCCATTGCGTGTAATCCTTTGCGGGACGTTGGTGAATGTACGGACATTAGGCAGACTCAGAGACTCCAAAAATCCGTTTCCTGGCTAATCATATGATTAGTAGAGATAAAATAAAACGGTAGTGGAATGCATACAGTTGGTCGACGACATCCCACTCCGAATTCAGTGGGTATAACTTTCGCGGCAACATCGACGTTCTTTCCGAGCTTGTCCTTCATTTGCTGAACCGAGAATTTCTTCGCTTCTTCAGCTGCCGGTGTGCCGTTCAGAATAAATTTGTAACGCTGGTTGAGTTCATTCTCAATTCCTTTGCAGTAGTCCTGATACTCAAGCGGGTTCTCTTCCCAGTGACTTTTCTGCTCTTCTGAGTCTGTATAGCCATCAGCAAGGGTTACGACGTGCACAATGCTCTTTCAAAGCCAGATCACTTACATTCAAAGTTAGTACCCCCGGGACCAGCATACTTTTGCGCAAATCCTGCCGTAATCCAGGTTGGGGATCTAATCCAAGTATACAGCTGGGCGACATCTGGAGCGATGCAGGGGATCACCTGGACACCGCTACTGCCGGTTCCAACTACTGCCACGCGTTTGCCTTTGTAGTCAATCGAGTCATCCCAACTGGCAGTATGGCATTTAATGCCTTCAAAGTCTTCGAGGCCTTCGATTTCGGGCCATCTCCAGTTGCTGTTAGGTTGGTTAGTCTAAGCCCATTTTGGGAGGACGTGGAAAGGACTCTGGGGTTGTCAAATTATACTTCAGAAGGCCCCCATTATTGATAAATATCTCGCCGCGATCAATAAAAGTTGCTCCATTGGTCAAGTTGAGAACTTCCACTTCCCATAAGCCCATGTCGTCATTCCATTCAGCTCGGGTGACTTGGTGGTTGAAGACGAAATATTTCCGAAGGTCAAATCGATCCGCAACGTCTTTAAAATACTGCAGAATTTCATCTCCGTAGGAGTAAAAGCGTTTCCAGTGAGGATTCTTCGCCCATGTAAACTACGTACAAAATTAGTCGCATGAAAACCATCCGAATCGCTCACCGGACAGTACCTGATAATTGTGGGACGGAATGTCACAAGCTACACCAGGATATCTATGACATGTAAATATGATTTGCCCAACTGCACAAGAGCAGAGCCGTTTGACTAACCTGTTCTCAAACCACGTTCCTCCGACCTCCGGGTTCTTCTCGTAAATGGCAAGACTGACATTTTTCACTTTCTCCGGAAGGATTTTGGCTAGATTGAGACCAGACACGCCAGCGCCAAGGGAGATGACCCGTAGCGGGCGCTCTGCGCCGCAAAGTTGCTCTTTGATTCTGTATCCATTTGCGTTCTCCCTTGGCCAGCCGTATAAATCCGGCAGGATTTCGAAATTCGGAAGGTCCTTGGTTGAGGAGCCATTGAGGTTTGGTTCGGTGAGAGCTGGGGCCATGATAGAATCTGATCCGTTGAGAATTGACAATGCGATCGGGTTAGTGACAAGATGAGTGAAAGATAAGTAATATCCATTGTATTTGTGTTATTCTTTGCATGCTATGTCCGCTACTTTGTCAGTCGTAACCGCGCGGCCTTTACTTCGGGTTGGCCGTAACCCGACAACGCCGAGGGATGTGGGGTTCGGCCTCGGTCTTCGGCGAGTATACTGTTTGGAGATCCAGCTTTTGGCCGGATCTAGCAGGGTCACGACATCTAGTGATGCTTGTACTGAACGTAGGAGTTGAGCTTTCCACCGACTTAGACCATTCACCTGCCAATTTCCTTATCCTTTGCATCGTCGCGTTCCGCAACTCCCAATGCAACCAGAGGCAGTCAGAATCTCATCCCAAACGTCTAAGGTCACAATGCCTTCCAATACATATATGCAGGGGTATATATCTATCCATAGATCTCCGTTTTGACGTCCTTCTAATCGACTCCTAGCGTCGCTATCATCACGGGGGCGGCATCCGGTATCGGCCGTGCAACCGCCCATACCTTCGTTCAAGAAGGATGCAAAAAATTAGTCCTAGGAGATATAGATTACGAAGGCCTTCAGAAAGTTGCAGAGGAACTTCAAGCGCGAGACTCCACAGTGAGAACACTAATCTGTGCCGTGGATATAGCATCGGAAGTCCAGGTAGATGCTTTCATCGAAGCCGGGGTGAAGGAGTTTGGTGCCATTCATTATGCCGTGAATAATGCTGGATTGACTAGTAAGCCAAGAGTGAGAACTCACGAGCTTCCCACTGCGTCTTGGGATCAGGTAGTTTCGGTCAATCTGCGCGGGACCTGGTTATGTGAGCGGGCGGAGTTGCGGCAGATGATGAAGCAGAACACAGATCTGAAGACCAGGTATGATCTACTCCGTGGAAAAAAGTACTTGATGAAAGATTGAATTTTGTGCCGTGTTTACAGGACCGGCTCACCGTCGCAACGAGGGGGAATTGTCAACATTTCTTCCCTGTTCGGAATCCTCTCTCATCCTACGACTGGTGCTGTAAGTTTAACCATAATTTAGAAACAGAGTGACAAGCTGATACTGGTAAAGTATTCTGCGACAAAAGCTGGAGTCATCGGAATGACCAGAACGGATGCATTGGCATACGCCGAAGAAGGGATTCGAGTCAACAGCGTCTTACCAGGCTTTGTGAAAACTCCCAGTATGTACAACTTTCATGAGGACTTATCTGATTCATGCAGAAGCTGAAGTAAATAGTGGTGGAAGAGTCCATTCGACGAGGAGCAAATTATGAGGAAATCGTCGCGAGCATTCCAATTCGCCGCTGGGGTCATCCGGAAGAGGTTGCAGAAGCCATCGTTTTTCTCGCAAGTGAAAAGGCTAGTTTGATCAATGGCGTATCTCTCGTGGTGGATGGTGGGAAACAGTATAGCGCATAGGGAGCAAACCATGAAGAATGAAGCCTTTTCTCATTCGAGACGAAGTTCGTTCTCCTCTCCAACAGACTAGCCAAACTGCGCCTTAGACCTTGGAGTGGAATATAACGTAAAATATATTTGAGAGAACAAGGTGTGACTAGTCATAGGTGATGAGTATTCTAGTGATGGAGAGATTCTTCATGCAGTTGGTTTCGCAGATGTTTCCAGGCCTACGTTGGTTACTGTTTGCTCTCTGAATTACCGGTTGAATGCCTTCAAGGAGCTGTGGCTATCTGCTCTCACTCAATGTCGTGTTTTCCCCTGATAAAAATTATAGCATTTTAATTCGAGAGCCACATGGGCGAGCAGATCGTGAGACATGAAACAGAGGATCTGGTAAAAATTATAATAATTATAGCGGATTGCATAGGGAAGAAGCGGCTACGCACAGGAAGCAAAGAGAATTACACGAAGCGAGAAGCACTGATATCAGGTATCTGGAACATTCTGGGTAAGATATAGATAGATGAAAATGAAGAAGATGAAGAAGCAAGCAATAGGACAGACAGCCCAAAAGGTGATAGAGGGAGAATATCTCCATCTGGAGGCAATATAGATTATACGACTAAGAGATGGAGAAGCGTCGCTAGTGGTGCAAGCACACCATATGTAGCTCATCTCAACCCTAGCCGTAGGAAACGGTAATTTATGGACCTCTCTCCAGGGAATCAAATCTCCCTGGTTCCGCTGGCAGAGCAAACGAAGAGCCGAGGCGATTTGCCGGTGAAAAAGAAAGAGGCCAAGCATATGATCTCATCGGGTAGCCAGCGAGCATCTCATGCTAATAGAGAGTGATATGGAAAAGTTTGTTCTATTCTACATTTTTTACGTTTGCATATTTTGTAGCATATTCCGTTGAATTATGAAGAACATGGACGTAATACTCGACTTCCAGGATGCATGTCAAATTGGAAAGTAAAAAAAAGCCTTGGTAATGTGATTATCTACTTAGCAACTGGCTAACTATTGATTGGCAGGTGGTACCTGAATCCGTTGGGAAGTTGCTAGCAGAATATTCTGCTGATCATCGGCCCTGGATCCATCCGGATAGTCATCGACATCCATGTCGTAGTATCCGAAAGGAGCTTCCTCGCGGTTGACGATTGTAAAACACCGTCCTAGTTCTTTCAGCAATTGAAATTTCACAACAGCGACAACCTGAAAGGGAGAGCATACCATTGATTGAGCCATCGGACACAATTTTCAACATCGCACCGGCTGCGTCGGCGGCGTCTGCAAATTTCACACCCTTCGACTTTGCGTGCTGATAGACACTTGGGCTCATGAGATTGGTTTCAACATACCTATCGACATTAGAATTTTCGTTACACAATAAGTGAGATCAGTAACACTACCAAGGAGACAAAGCACATGCACGGATTCCGTCAAGGAATGTGGTGCGGCGAAGACATCGCATCAAAGCGCGTGCCGCAAATTTGGACATCATATAGATAGGCCCTCCTGGGACGTCCCCGTAGCCCGCGGCGCTAGACAAGACAATGAAGCACCGGTCTCTGCCCGGAATAAGTTCGTGTTGCTTGAAGTAATACCGAGCAAGCTTGCATGTATTGATGACCCCGTTCACGTTGACGTTGAGGATATTGAGATTTGGTGCCTGTGGCTCATCCCCAATATCTGACTCTAGTTAGATAATTCCAAATCCAGTGGGTGCTCCAGGATATACCTTCACCATAAAATATCGGGTCAGCACCAGTAATACCAGCATTTGCAATAGCAACGTCCACTGTTTTGCTGGGCGAATTGGCCTTTGCTTGACGGAACATCTCTCGCTGGGACTCAAAATCGGTCACATCACATGGAAAAAATTGAGCGTTCCTATCCCACCAGAATAAGCATGTTGTCAGACTGGGGTAGGAAAAATAAAAACTTACGGACCAAGCTGGGCTTCAATCTTTCTACCTGCAGCTTCATTCACGTCGCCGAAGGTGACAAATGCTCTGCGATATTTCAGGGCTCTGATTCCTTGCGGGATTATTGGAGTAAGCATACCCTGCTCTAGCGAACGCCCTAGTAGCCTGCTCGCCCATACCACTAGCACCTAAGCCATTCCTCAGTATAAGATCATGGATTGGTTTCGACAATCGCATTTTCGTACCTCCTGTAATAACAATGCTCTTGCCTGCCACATGGCTCAGGTCCGGGGGTATGGTACAATCCACCACCCCTTTCTTATATGCCGGATATTTTTCCATGTTCTTAGTTGGTAGATTCGAGGCAACTTGAGAATTCTCGGAAAGTGTAGGAGTGATGAAACGGATATGAGCAATTTAATATGTTCATCCCTTTCCATTGACTAATCGTCATCAATCATGTCCGCTTCCCTTGGATCGGTTTTCGGCGTAGCGGCGTTGTTCGGTCTATTATGGCTGGGCTACGGGACCGGCCACGAGAGGGGTGAGTTTATGTTTATTCTCCGCGCGACGACATTTCATAAATTCGGAGATGATAAAGGTTTGAATAAAGAGACTGGTTCTTGCAGGCGACCAATTTCGCTAAGCCATCCAAGCGTTATGGCGACCCCCCAAATTATCACCTGCCAGTCCACCGTGGACATCCCGGCTGTTGATATTGCCTCGTTCGTTTTCTCATCCGGGACACCTGAATCTCGCCAAAACCCGCAATATTTCGATGCGGATTCGCCATCACGATGCTACAGTTTGAGTGAAGCCGAACTCTATGTGAAACGAATTAGCAAGGGTCTAATCAATCATGGTCTTCAGCCGGACGACAAAGTAATGCTCTTTTCTGGGAATGCGCTCTACTTTCCGGTACTTTTTTGGGGTGTAGTTGCTGCTCGCTGTGTATTCACCTCGGTCAACCCTGGTGCCTCCGAGACGGGTAAAATTTTCTGCTGGCCCTCACAATCTTTTCATTCGCTTATTTCACTCTGCAGAGCTTGAATACCAACTGCGAGACTCCGAATCAAGGATATTGCTGGCCCATCCCTCGGCTACTACAATAGCACTAGCTGCTGCTCGGCGAGCAGGCTTGCCTATCGAACGCGTGTTTGCTTTCGTGGATCCAGGTGAAGTAGCAGAAAGCAAGACCGCGCCATTGCGCCCGTGGACAGATTTATGGTGTTCTCCAGATGAAGTTGCCACCTGGCGCTGGCATCGGATTGAGTCACTGGAAGAGGCACAATCTACCACCGCCATCTTAAACTACTCTAGTGGGTAAGCACAGTCACGTCTTCAATTTGAGCATTTGTATCGAGTGAATTAATGGCGTTTCACGCTTATAGAACAACCGGAACCCCAAAGGGTGTGGAAATATCGCACTATAATGCCGTGGCCAATTCGATTCAATTGGTTGCGAAACGTTCCATGGTGGATGACACGGAGGCAGCGCGCGCCAGGAGGGCCCGCTTGGATATCATTGGTGAGCGATGGCTCGCTCCGCTTCCTATGTACCATGCCTACGTGAGTATATGGCAATCCGTGCCAAAATCTTCTGAAGTAATCTAATGATCACAGGGTCAAACGTATTACTGCATGAACGCTGCACGTCTCGGAGCCAAAGTTTACATTATGAGGAAATATAATCTGTCGAAACTCCTGCTATATGCCGACCTTTACCGGATCACATTCCTCACTCTTGTCCCGGTCATTGCGAATATGATGGCCCGTCACCCTCATCCGGCGATGTACAATTTGAAGTCTGTCGAAAGCATCGTCTGTGGATCAGCTCCGTTGAACCCAGATTTAGCCCAGGTAGTGGCCCGGCTTTATCTTCGCAACGGTGTCACCATAAAGCAGGGACTGGGGATGACGGAAACCACCTGTTCTCTGACCCAGTTTGCGCCTGATGATAAGGATGATGGCCGCTCAGTGGGCTGGTTGAATGCAAACTGTACAGCCCAGGTGCGACCAGTCCCTGGCGAGGATTTTACCGACGGTGCACCCCCGGGGTAACTGTCGGCGAGATCTTAGTGTCAGGTCCAAATATAATGAAAGGTTACTATAGGCGGCCGGAACAGACACGAGAGAGCATCCACGTTGACGCCAAGGGTGTCCGATGGCTTCGCACTGGTGACATAGGCTATGCCACTGAAAAGGGCCATTTTTATCTAGTAGATAGGCTGAAGGTATGTCACGCTCAATAAACCATGGAAAGCGACATAAAAGAAACATTTATTCTCTAACACACTGCCGACAGGACCTTATTAAAGTTAAAGGCATGCAAGTGTCACCTGCCGAGCTCGAGCTGACCTTACTGGAGCACCCAAATGTCAGTGACGCAGCGGTCGTTGGGATCAAAAGGTACAAATTTCTCTGCAACATATTTTGTACTGTCAATGCTTACTCGATTCCTAGGCCTGATGGCGAGTATCCCTTAGGGTTTGTGGTTCGAAAATCCGGGACTGTGACGGCCCGAGAGCTTCAGCAATTGATTGAATCTCGCTTCGCCCCACACAAATGGTTGACAGCCGGTGTACAATTCGTGGATTCTATACCGCGCACAGCCAGTGGTAAAATCATCCGTCGGGCATTGAGAGACTCGGGGCTCAAAGCGAAGCTTTGAGAGTGAAGCACTTTGAAACCATCTCAAGCTCACATTGGAGATAATGTTATTAATCTTAGTCTTATATAAGCTTCAATCAAGTCTCAGCCTATGCCTGAGATTCATTCCACGAGATCATGGGCGATACAGCTCTCTGTCGGGTTGTAGATAAAGATTTCCGCGCCAGAGTAGTGGTTTTGGGTCCGACGTGGTCTGCTCCTCTTCCTACTCTGATATCGAGAAAATCTCCTGCCAGGGATGGTACTTGAATTGAATTTCCCGTTTTTATTCTTTTTTTTTTTTTTTTTTGGTATCTAGATGTTTTGTCTTGTCTCCGGTTGGAGATTAGGAGTAGTAGCGCGCTCCAGCGGGTCGTTATTATCCTCCCCAGCCCCCAAGTGTGGAGCGGCTGCCAAATTTCTACATATCTGTAACCGTCAAGATATAAGCAAGAGCGAGAGACGATATCAAACAATTGGATTCATTGTATTCAAGAGTTGAAAAGACCACAATCGAAACTCGGAAATCCTTTGTTTAAGAAATAGACCTCGCTTCAATATCTAACAACTGCCTACCCAGGTCTCGAAACGTATCCTTAGCGGGGCGGAACTTCAACCCCAGATCCTTAACAGCTTCTGATCCGTCGACATCAAACGCATTCTTAGGGAGGGAACTAGTTCCAGGCTGCCCACGTGGGATCCTATGTCTGGCTTCCGGAAGAGCCTCGTAGAGAAGATCCGAAATCTCTTGGTTGCAGATACGTCCCCGCGTCACCAGATAGCGTTTATTCGATGCCGATTCTGCGAACATAGCTTTATAATGTGCCTTGGCAAGATCCTGGGAACCGAAATCAGTTTCGCAATCATTGCGCGTATGAAAAGGTTAGGCCTACCCGGACATCAATATCGGCATGCACCCACTCTGCAGGGAGAGGGATTTCTGCTGTTCCGTTGAGAAAGCCATTCCAGATGTTAGCAGTGGTCACGTTCAAATCATCGATCGATTCAACAGAATGGCGCAGGGGTCCATGAACCATTGGAGGATTGAGAAAGACCAAATCGAAGCCTCTAGAGGCCGTTTTCATAAAATCCCATGCTGTATTCGTATCAGCATCCTTATCTCAGTTCATACTATAGCGATAGACGAGAAATGAAGTCGTTCAATGCTCACCTGCTCTTTCGGCAAGCGTTTTGCTAAACCAGTATGCCAACCGGGGGTTTTCCGCATTGACCTCTTCCGCCGTGACTGGATTCCAGTCGCGTGAGGTGTACACTTTCCCATTGCCCTGCATATCCTTCGGGTTCCCAATTGCAGAGAAGCTGCCGGTGATGACAACCCGCTGGATATTTTTTCCATGCCGAGCTGTCGCGTTGAGCATCTCCCGCGTACCTTGCACGGCTGGCTGGACGAAGTCCGCCACCGATTTCCCACTCGAGTAGTTCAGAGGACTAGCGGTGTGGATGATGTAGCGGATTGATGGGTCTGATTGTAGTGCCTCGTCATATGCTCCAGGTTTCGTGATGTCGGGAACAATGGTGAAGTCTAAGCGATCCCCCGCGTTGGGAAAATCACCTCTTACCCGGTCTGCCGTCTGCTCTGAACGCACTATGCCTCGGACGGATAGGCCATGAGCCAGGAGCACCTCCAGGATATGACTCCCAATGTATCCATTAACACCGGTAAGAATAACCTTGGTCGCCGCCATCTTTCGAATCAGATTTCAGGGTTCCTTTGAGGATGATAGAGTGGACAATTACCTCTCTAGTGTAGCGGAGCAGGCGCGTTATGTATTCCTACTTAAAAGGCAGATTACGGTTTCAGCGGCACTCGATTTCCGCCCTTGCTAGAAGGCCGGGGGAGGGGGAGGGGTCCAGGCCCACCCGACCTCCATCAGGATGTGCCAAGCCGGCCTTCCTGGGGGAATACAATGCGGGGGGTTCGGCGGAGTAAAAATTAAGCTCCAGCTCGGCGCCCGTAATGCCAGGAAGACCGAGACCCGTTCTTGAAGTGATATATAACCACGCATATAGGACGTCCAGGCAGTCTTGGTTCTCAATATTCGACGCGAGATCTATCTTATTTGTATCAGCCGCGCGTTATAGTTCGCTCTACAGTTTGCTCAAATTCCCATGGCGTCTTTGAAAGGAAAAGTCATCAGCATCACCGGTGGTGCATCCGGAATGGGACGTGCCTTGGCACATTTGGCAGGGGCTCGGGGCGCAAAACTAGCCCTAGCAGATACCCAGGAAGACCTATTAACCCGACTGATAGATGATTTGCGACAAAAGGATATCGACGCAGTGGGGACTGTGGTGGACATCAAAGAGTCGCAGCAAGTCAACCACTGGGTGTCCTCGATCATATCGCACTTTGGCACACTGCACGGAGCGGCAAACATGGCGGGCGTGGCGGGGATGAACCGGAGTACCGCAGCTCTCGAAGACACCTCAGACGAGGGGTGGAACCACATTCTCGCCGTGAACCTTACAGGAACCATGAACTGCATTCGGGCCCAAATAAAGGTCATGAGGGAGGGCGCTTCGATAGTCAATGCTGCCAGCACGACCGGACTGGCCGGCCGGCCGAACCTCTGCGCCTACTCGGCAAGCAAGCATGGCGTTGTTGGGCTTACACGATCGGTCGCGGCGGAGGTCGGTCATAGAGGAATTCGCGTCAACGCTGTTGCCCCGTGGGTCTCCCAGCTTGAGTATTGCTTTTTGTCTTTTTCTTTCTTGTTTCCCTGCTAATATCATGACACGATGATGCAGAGGCGCGATTAGCACCCCAATGCTGAAGAGCGTCTTGGCTGAGGAAGGTAATACGGATCAGCGATTTTGGACTTGTCCGTTACAGCGTGAAGGAAAGCCGGAGGAAGTAGCGCGGGCGGTCGCCTATCTCCTTAGCAATGAAGCAAGCTACGTCACGGGGACAGTTCACACTGTCGATGGTGGTTTACTGGCATGAGTGTAGCGCGGCCTTGCGACCTACTGGCGCACATACATTAATTACGATTTACTCGGAGATGTGATTCAAAGCCGAACATGCCAACGTGGAAGAGAGGGGGGGTTGTCGGTGGGGTATAAGAGCCAGAATGCAACAGCCTAGACCGAGCAAGAAAATTAAATTACATTTTATGATCTGAAAAATCATGGGTACTCAACATCGTAACATGCAATTCCCTCCTGGCTCTACAGTGGAAGTTTCGGTCATCGACACAACTACATACCTGACCAATATCAAGGGAAATATTGTCGTCGACCCCGTCTATCCTGGCTACGAGATTCTTAAGATACCCAGCTTTTCTTTCCTCATTCATCATCCGCCCTCTGGTAGCCATGTGCTATTCGATCTCGGGCTACGCAAGAACTGGCGTACACATTTGAGCCCGCACCTTCTCAAGGAAATTCTTGCCGCGCCCTACGACATCCACTGTACCAAGGACGTGGCCGATATACTCGCAGAGCACAATATATCCCCCGATATGATAGACACGGTCATATTCAGTCACCATCACTGGGACCACGTCGGGGATACCACACGCTTTCCCAGCTCAACGCGGATTATGACGGGCCCCGGATACAAGGCCAAATATCTCCCTGGCTGGCCAATCGACCCGGCAGCAACTGAAACAACCTCAGACCTCTATGCAGACCGAGAACTCATTGAAATCAACTTTGAAGACCGATCATCTTCTTTGAATATCCATGGCTATCAGGCATACGACTACTTCGGAGACGGTAGCTTCTATCTTCTCAACGCACCTGGTCATACGACCGGGCATCTCAACGCATTAGTGCGCACCACCAGCGCATCCCCTGGCAGTGATGACACTTTTATCCTTCTCGGTGCCGACACTGCCCATCATTGTAGTGTGTTGCGACCCTCGGCCTATTGCCCGCTTCCAGGGATTCTCCGTCCTGCGCCCGCTAGTCAGGACACGGAGAGTTCTTGCTCCAGCAAAAAGTATCTCGGTTCCCATAGAGTCTTTGCAAAGGAACGTGATGCGGCTAGTACAATTAGCTTTTGCCAAATTCCCGAGCCGAATCCGTATGACGAGGATATTGAGGTGGCTCGACAGTCGCTCGACAAGTTGGTTCCTCTTGACGGGACTGACAATGTTTTTACTATATTTTCCCATGATGATACCTTGGCCGATGTCATCGATTTCTTTCCCGGGATGGCAAATGAATGGAAGGCCAAAGAATGGAAGGCAAGGGGACATTGGAAATTTTTGGCACCACTGCGATTGACCGAAAGCATTGAATAAGAGCGGAACCCCCCCCCCAAAATAGCATAGGAATATCTTTCGCATCCATAAAGCGACCAAATCAATACAATCTACCTGCCTGCTTTATTTTTATGAGAATTGCCGATTTTCTATGTATCCGGGAATCTACTCGGTCGGGTGGTCGGTTTAAATAAAGGGGTCAGTATATATAATATACCTAGGCGTCTCATGTAGCTTCGATCTCTAACGTCCAGTTCCAAAGTTTCAAACAATTGAATGAAATCTGTCTCCAAGGTTGCCCCATCTTCATTCCTCTTTCTTTTCTGTGTTTTCAACAATGAGTTTACCAGTCCCTCAATATGACTACCCACGGAAGGAGGCCTCCTGGTGTGTCCGGGATGCCCTGCTCTTCAACCTTAGTATCGGCGTCGCGCCAAACAACATTGAACTACTGCATGTCAGTGCCTTGTCGGGTCTCACTTCAAGACTATACCTCGTTGACTCATGCTATGTAGGAGTCAAGTCCGGCTTTCCAAATTTTCCCAACCTATGCGACCGTACTTGGTAGATCACGTTCCAGAAATCCTTCCACGAAGAGCTACATATATTAACTCAGCCCTATTTTAGGACATAAGGGGACCAACCAAGACGTCGTCGACTTCATGTCCCTTCAGAAACCCACCGACATTGATTTACCTGGCGTTCCGAGCTTCGATCGTTCGCGTGTCGTAGATGGCGAGAAATGCATCCTGATTCATCGGCCGTTGCCTCCCAGTTCCAGTGGTCATCAGTTCCATCTCGAGCAAAAACTTTCGGGGATATATGACAAAGGGAAGCTGGGTACAATCATTGAAACTACAACGAGATTGGTTGATACTTTATCCAACGTCTCATATGCAACTGTTATCGGGAGTGTAGTTGCGAAAGGGCAAGGAAACTGGGGGGGACCAAAAGGTATTCTCTTTCGTTATCGTTCAATTAATATTCTTCCGAGAGCATGAAAACTAACACATATCACTTCTAGCTACCCAGCAAGTGCGGCATCATATACCAGATCGTACACACGATCACAGTGCTCGATGTGACATACCATGGATGGCCGCCCTGCTGTACCGGTGAGCAGCGATTCTCTCATGGCCATGATTATACATATATTTAACATCTATGTACAGCTTGAATGGGGACTATAACCCTCTTCACATAGATCCACAAGCAGCTCACCAAGCTGGATTCGAGCGGCCAATTGTACACGGTCTCTACACATGGAACACGATCGCCTACAAAATTTCTCAGATTCTTTTCCCGGGAAACTATACTGCACTGAAGCAATACCAGGCTCGCTTTTCGGCTCCTGTGTATCCCGAAGACAAGCTGACTATCCATATTTGGCGAATCGGACCCAGTCAGCGTGATGAAGGGGAGGAAGCTCGGTTTGTGGCCACCAATCAGAATGGAATTACAGTTCTTTCAAATGGCATCGTTGTCTGGAGAGCACAGGAGGAGTCAAGATTGTAGGATAGATGTTCAATATAGTCCCAGGTGGTCATATGAGATAAACCGTGTTTTCCGAACTCTAGAGTTGGCATGAAAGCCGAGGCCGAATATTCTGCGGTGCAATACATCAAACTGATAAAATCGATCCCGTAACGCTGCATACTCTGCCATTTCCCAAAAATTTTCAAAAAAAATAAAAAAATAAAAGAATCCAACCCATCATGGTGCACTTCACAGCCGTTATCCTAGGGCACCCGCTCCAAGCCCTCAAGTTCTGCTACTCTTTCTTCGCTCAGTGCTTCATTGATATAACAGAGCGAGTTCTGCTTCCTCATTACCCAACTTACCAGTCCCTCCGCACAAGACTAGCCCGGGCATACCTCGGAGCAGCTGCCATTCATCTCCCAGACATCGTTCACCGTCTGCCTGTATCAAACTGCCCGGCTTCCCGAGCACGGCCAGTAGAAGGCGCGAACTGGAAAGGTTACATCATCCCTGGATCATGCACTTTACTTGACAACGACGATGAATACAAATACATTATTATCCTATACGCTCACGGCGGGGGCTATGTTCGGGGAGAGGCAAGACAGTATCTTAACTACATGGAACGGTGGATCAACGCAGCGGCCGGAAAAGGTATCAAGCTGATCTTTTTAAGCGTGGAGTATCGTATGTCCATTCCCCAAGTTCTTTTGATCATTATTTTCTATGTAGTCAACTAACATTCATCCAGCCTTGAGTACAGAGGCAGCTCATCCAGCCCAGCGGACTTCCTTCCTCGACGGCTACCAGTATCTTCTAGACGAAGGAGTCCCCGCGAATAAGATCATCTTCATGGGAGATTCAGCTGGAGGTAGGCTTATGACCAACAATTGATGAAGCAAAGTGGTTACTGATTCACTATTCCACCATCAGCTGCATTGAGCATCCTATCAGCACTAGAGCTACCCAAATTGGGCCTTCCCCAGCCAGCTGGCAGCGTTCTCATTTCCCCATGGCTTGATACAACTTTATCTCTGTATAATTCGGGCGGGAGCCCTATGGTCGAAACAGACTACATCAACACCGCTAATAGGTCTGTTCCCGAGATGTTTCGCCTTTTTCTTGGGGGGATTGACGGCGCCGATCCAGATGTAAATCCATTGCATCGACCAATCGAAGAAATTCAGTCCCTCAACCCCCAGCTCATCCTAACAGGCGGAGCGGAAATGGCTATGCTTGATGGTCGGCATTGGGCAGAACTCTGTGCCAGGGCAGGGGTTCGGCATAAGCTGGTTTTGGAATGGGGTCAGTTGCATATCTACGCATTGGGGTCTGCGTGGCTAAGTCAAGAAGTCCGCGAGAAGACAGACAAACAAATAATGCAGTGGATAGATGAATGTACCTCTTGATTGTCTTTTTCCTCCGAAGTGATGTCTCGAAACCACCTAGTTTGACACAATATCGTAGAATACATTGTAGGTGCAGTACCAAATCGGCGATGCATTCAGCCTTGGAACTCCGCGCATTTCCGTACCCCTCGGTCAACGATGTAGTGCTGTGTACCGGCAATCAAATATCTACTGATTCCCCGATCAATGCCGATTGGATCTAATAGTGTCGGGTAGCGCCCACCCGATTGATTATACCACGCTACAGCCACACCCAACTGAACTGTCTAGTCAAAGACCATCAATCGCCATTGTTTTCAACCACGCTCCTCGGTATACTTTGTTTCGTTATGCCTATCACCGTTACGATCCTCTACCCCAACGTGGATAATCTCCAACTGGACATCCAAAAGTACCTGGATAGCCACATGCCGAAAGTAGTGGAACTGATGGGGCCATATGGCTTAAAAGGTATGCATGCCGTGGATTAGCTTCTTTATTATGACACTCAGACGTACATCGTTAGCGATCCGTGCCGTTAGCCTCCAACCGCCTCGATCGCAGGACATGGGCCGCGGGTATGCGCTCCAGGTACAGCTGGACTGGGATTCACTTGCGCAATTCCAGCATGGTTATGAGATGACTAGTGAAGTCCTGATGGCGGATATTGACTCATTCAGTAATACAAAGCCGTTGATTATGACAGGAGATGTTATTTTGGAGCGACAGGTTCAGGCAGTGAGATTGGATTGAAGAATTGTATTAGATTGCAATTACAGCATAATACTGTACGCATTGATGGGATAAGAGAACCTCTCGGGAGCTCATCCAAGATGAGATAATTGAATCAATTCAAAAGACACAAATGTGCGACTCTGGGATAGGCCCTGTTGAAGTGTCCTTGCTTGCGTACAAAAAGTGGGAAAAGGGGGCTGAACCCTCATAACTCAGCACACGTCACGAATTCTCCAATATAGACAAAGGAAACATGACACTTGAATGAGCTCGATATTTTTTGCACGTATTTAACTGCCTCCACATTCCCCAAAACTAGAGCACATAATTGCATTTTATCTAGACCTTCGGTAGACTCGAAAGAATAATGCTCTCTTGTCTCTTCCCTTATCTTGTTGTGTCCATCGATCACTTGAATTGGGGATCGAACTTGCAGCCACTCACATGTAACCATATAGAGGTACAGTCTCGATTCTATGAAAGCATTAGCATAAATTTAGTTCAGCCTGGGATGGCAAAAGATATTCAAGCGGTCAACTCACTTTACACAGTTCATCTCTATCTGCGCCCTTGTAAAGCTCATAAACCGCATCCCCAACACGCGTAGGGGTTTTCGCCATGCCTGCCATCTCAATCCCCAGTGACATGTCCTTCAGAATCATCGGCATGAGAAACGAAACCTCATAGCCATTACTCGCGGGGCCAGGCACAAGTCCCGGCACAGGCTGGGCATAGTCAACCGCCCAAGAGTAACCACTTGATTTCTTGAAGCATTCAAAGAGAACCTTCCGATCAACCCCATTGCCGATTCCCATTGCGAATGCTTCTGCAAGGAGTGCCATGTTACTGCAGGCCAGATAGTTGTTCGCAATCTTGGAGGCCAAGCCAGTCGAAAAGCCACCACAGAATATAATCCGATCCTCCATTGCCATGGGCGTGATGGTGTTCAAAATTCGTGATTTGGTTTGTGAAGGTCCATCGGGGTGTCCGATGAGGAAAGCTAGCGTTCCATCGCCTGCGCATTTGATCCCGCCCTATTTCCAAAAAAAAGTCTGTTAATTCATCATGTTCCCCGTGAGATCCATACTTTCCAGAGGGAGATGGGAGTGGAGAAGTGAACTTACAGAAACGGGAGCATCCACATACAGCCCAATATCGGCTGCAGAGAGTTTTTCCTGGATATCCCGAGTTGTTCCCAAATCAATGGTACTACACTCCAGTAACAACCGATTTCGATCTGCGGGGGCATTGATCACTCCTGTGACAGAGTCCAGATATACCGAGCGAACATGGGCGGATGCCGTTACTATAGAAATCACAGTTGAGGCCCGTGAAGCAGCTTCCTTTGCAGTTTTAACAACTTCAACAGGGCCATGCTGGCCGAGCTCATATTTGAACTCCTCACAGGCGTCTTGGTTGAGGTCATTTACTATCAATGTTGTGGTCGGCGGAAGAGAGCGGCGAATGTTTGCAGCCATCCGATAACCCATGCGGCCAAGGCCTAAAATAGTGCTTAGTGGAAAGTATCATTTGTATTCAAAGATCAATCATACCGATAAAAGCAACATCACACTCGTATGGCATAGTTGTTGTTGTCAAGATCCCTAAAAGTGGCCTCTCAATGCCCTGCAATTCCCCGAGCTTTTAAAAGCAGACAGACACATCGGTGCGAGCGCACAATTTCCTAATTCTCGGGGTAAACTTCGGTCTAGAGCTCGCTGCCGACCAGTTTGAATGGTATGAGATTGCCGATTATCCGAGGCTAACCCGATAAAGATTCAGCGCAAGCGTTGGTCTCATACTAACTCTCTAGGTCCAGAACTCGGTGGCCTTATTTTAAGAAAAGTAGTAGAACCTAAGTACAATATACTTGGTGGGTGTTAAAAGGATTATTCTGCCTTCGGCTCGTTAGGGATTTTTGCAATACAGAGTCTATGTAATCCAGTCCTGCGCGAAGAGAAAGACTGCAATTTTACACCCAGGAAGGCACATTGAGCTATCGGGATTGTGGCGAGCTCATTCCTATAATTTGGGAAGTATATTGATTCCAATGACTGAGGAAGGAAAGGTAAAAATCATGGGCACTAATAGACCTCGACAAGAAAGAACCAAATGACTGACAAACTCAGGAAAAGCTGGCTATAGAACAAACAGGCGAACTGTTTCTCGGAGAGGGGCAGTGTATATCTTACGGGGGTGACAGAACAAAAGGTGGACCGTAGAAAACGGAGCAGAAGGGGGAGTAATATCAGTATCCCTGATCTCGTCTGTTTAGTCATCGTTAAGGGTCCTTTCCTTCTTCATTCTCCCAAGTGGATTTCGAATGTTCTTCTCAGAAGCTGGTTCAAGGCCTATACTTCCACTTTGTGTCATATTGTCACTGCCGGTGGCGGCGACCCGGTCACCAAAGAGACCCGCTACTTCTTCGAGCGTCAGTCCCTTTGTTTCTGGGAAATAGAACCAGATGACTGGTAGTCCGCAAGCAGGAACAAGAATAAAGATGAGGTAGAACCTCCATCCGATGGTGCTGAATGCTGTGGGAGCAATCTCAGCGAAGACTGTTTGACATCCAAAAGGCCTTGGTTAGCAAGAGATCATTGATGGCAGAGCTGACGACAGATGCAGAGAAATGGAGAAGCATACGTAGTGCAGGCGCAAAGTACGATATGATCGAAACAGCCATCCCGGTTGTACGCATGTAGGTTGGGAAAATTTCCGCGCAGTACACGTAGGAGGTCACGTCCAGGCAGAATCCATAAAAGGTCGTGTATAGGTAGACGAACAAGACCCCGAATCCGCAGCCCACTCGGTTCCCTGTGCCAGCGTATTGAGCTACCATTGCAGTATACAAGGATAGGCATATCACAGAGCCGAGCTGGAAAAAAGAAGAGTAGGTCAGTACTCGTTTACAACTCAATGATGAAGGATGTACGCCCTACCAAACCCCAAAATAGCAGATTTTTCCGCCCGACTCGATCAATCATCTTGGCATTGAAAAAGTTGCCCACGGCAGACCATGCATCGTATATACCGAGCAAGAGTATTGAACGCCATCCGGTGATTCCTAGCTTTTCATAGAGAATTACCTTGCCGAGGGTTAGACATATTACGAGGCTTTTCGCAATCATCTAGATTAACCTACCTGATAAGTGATAATAACGAGTACCCCTGAGCACTGCAACAGGCCACTATTTTGAAGACGGTTAGACTTATATCATGGTCTGAGAACCGAATTAGGTTGCAAACTCACGGGGTCAGAACCGCAATCACAAACCGTTTGCGCATCGAAGGCTGTTTCAAACCAGTCATAATTGTTCGGTTCTCGGCCTTTTCCAATTGAAGCTGTTCTCTGATCTGTGCAAATTCAGATGCCGCAAACAAGTTATCTGGGTCAGCCGGGTTTTTATGCAGCTCAACAAGTGTCCTTTCTGCTTGGTCAAAACGTTGCCGACTGATCAGCCATCGGGGCGACTCCGGTAGCCATATTAGGGCTATAGCTAGAAAAAGTGGTGGTAAACCTTGGTGATCAATGGTTAGTGTTTAGGTTTAGATCTCCTTTGGTGGGCCACGAATAAGACTGTGGAAGTAATACGGTGTCATACGTACCACTGAGCCCTAAAGCCAGTCGCCATTGCAGTTGCGGATTCGAGGCAAAAGAACAACCAAGGCCGGCAAACACTGCTGTTGTCTGCAATCTTTTTATTAGATTGATTATACGCATTTTCGGTTTTCTGATGTACTTACGCCTCCCACAACAAGGAAAAATCCATGCTGTCCGACCAGATGACCGCGTCGTGATGCGGGGCTGATCTCACTCTGATAGACTGGCACAATGGTTTGAAAGAATCCTGAGCTAGTCAATGTCAGATGTGTGAGCCTTATATTGTATTATGGCGGTCCTACCAAAGGCCTGACAGCAATCGCCCCAGTAATAACATGGGAACGTTGACCGCGGATCCAATCAAGACACCGCCAGTTATCCCTGCAATACATCCAACGAGTAGTGTGAAGCGTCTCCCAATACGTTCGGCAGTCCATGCCCCCAATGCAGCGCCGAGAATACCACCACCAAAGTAGCACGCGGGAATGCCTATGCAACAGTAAGGGAATGTGAAGTCCAAGGCGGCAGGGTTAAGGCCCAGGCAAAGAACTTACCACCGATGACACTTGTTGTCTCGTTGATATCCAAGCCAAAGTAATCATAGAAAGATGGCATTCCCAAAACGGGCCCGGTCACATTTACTGTGAAGCCGAAGGTGAACGAGCCCAGGGCAGCCGTAATGACCACGAGCAGGTTGTATGTGCTGACCGTGCCTTGTCCAGTCATCATGTAGATCAAGAGGAAGAGAGAATCAGAATCATTCTATTCCGGTGGGAGAGATCATAGACCAAAGGATGGCCAACTATTAATGATGAATGGGTCGAAGCTGTAGCTGCAGCTGCAGCTGCACGGGTCTCCGCATTAGCCCCAGCTTCAGTACCCCGGATTTTAATCTGTCGCTTTGAAAAGTGTGCGCTACTCTCTAGAAAGTACTATTTTCGGCGCCAAATAATGAGTCTAGGAATAGGTCCGATTTGAGGAATCCATTTTCGGACTATGGGAATTTCGTTTTGCGCAGAGTAACACCGAAGAAAAGCTTAAATATCAGCAGAAAAGAGCATATAACTCGCACATATTTCTCATGATTGGCCACATTGCAGCCAAGGCGTTAGAATACAACTATTGTCCACTCATAGCAATAACCGAGCCTCGGTCAGCTGGCGGCTTTTCCCTATGAGGCAACGCGCGACTGTGCCACTAAACTGTACTTTCAACCGACCTGCGGAGACAACTTGGCGTGGGAGGGAAAGCCGAATAGTAAGATAGATAATCGAACAACGTAGATAGGCACCATATAGAGGTTGACGATTTTGAGAGTTCGGCTACAACATTTACATATTGATCAGAATGCATCCAGCTTTACAGCGAGACTTGTGTTATGGTATGCGACCAACCCGCCGTCATATAACCAGTCACGACCAAAATGGAGCAAGCGTTGTCCTCGCCTCGCCAAATTTACTCTATCTCGATCGAGGTGGGTATGCGATTACCCGTACATATGCACTGGACCAGGTGCCAGCACAGCTTGGGAAGGACCAGGACTTGAACGCTTACCTTTCCTCGGATGGCGACAACTATCCCACATCACAGCTCCACGGGGGCAGCCAACCTGTGGTTCCAGGAGGCGTGAACTTCTTACAGGGAGACTTCGGTCCTTCTGCGATCACCCCGATGCATCGAACCATCTCTGTCGACTATGTAGTAGTTGTTGAGGGAGAACTGGTCCTTGAATTGGACGATGGAACCAAAACACCTCTCAAAATCGGGGTACGCATGCTTACATTCTAATTTTTTTCCCCTTAAACTGTTCAGAGTCTAACTCTTTGACTAGGACTCCGTGATTCAGCGAGCAACCATGCACCGTTGGGTGAATCCGTCCGTTGACAAACCTGCACGATTCGTCGCCACTACAGTTGCTTGCATCCCATTCGAAATTGAAGGGCATCTCATCCAGCAAGAGTATTCGGATTAGTCATCCGATAAAGTTCGATTCCTGAAGTAAAATCACGAGTCCGCGATATAATTAGTTGACTCTGTCGGAGTGATCCGTAGTAGCCGGCAGTGTCTGAGGGTGCGGGGAAGTGGGGAAGATGGAGAAGGAGTAGGCGGTTACTCTCTACTTGTACTGGGGGTCTACGGAAGTGCTGTACTCTGATATTCTCCCTTCTGCTCCTGTCTCAATTCTTTCGATGCCACTATTCATAACTATCGTCTTCCCAAATCGATAAAATCTTGTGAACCTACGCTGTATTTCTGTCGGTAGCATACCGGGGCATCCCGCTGAAACGGCTGTCCGTTCGGCTTCCTCGCCAGCTATGGCTCGCAAAGCACGCGCGTGTGTGCCCTGTCACGAACGAAAAGTTAGATGTGATGCCGCTGACATTGGATTACCATGTACACGTTGTATCAACGCCGATCGTTCTGTGTCCTGCGAGCTGGTTCAGCAAGATCGGTTACAAGGGTGAGCCTTCCCGCTTGATATAAACGGAACAGAATAATAATGGCTGTTTGGTAGCGGTAAGAGAAAACGCGCAAATGCACAGCCAGTCGAAGGCGAGCGATCAGAAAGCTTAGCAGAGTCCGCCTCCGCTCCCTATCCTTCAAGACCTCGATCCGAGCCCGCCGCAGCGACTCCACGCTTCTCCGACCACGATCTGTCCATAGGCAGGGAAGAGATTATTCCACGGCTGGTAGGTTCGCTCCTCATCAGATGAAGATTGCGACATAGTTAGCGTCAATTGGTCTTTACGATGACGTCTCTTACAGCTTCGATAGAGTACGTCTGGGCTACCCCAGGAGCCCTTGGGTCAACCTACATCCGTGGCTGGAAATGTTGCTACCAACCCCATTTCCCACTCGGCTGCCCAACTACATTCCCCATTTGAGTCCTCAGAATCAGCGTCATCATCAACACAAGTCGGGCAGCCCGTGGGAGAAAACGATTTTCAGCTGCAGGTATGTCGAGAAATGTCGCAGTGGCAGTCCGCAGCCCCACTTGGCACACCAACATCCAGCAGCCCACAAAGCAAAGGACAAGAAATTATGGAATATCATGGGGGCACCAATTCAATGACAATTCTCAGTGAGGTTCTAGGCCGTGCACCGCCAAAGAGACTTGTCAGAATAGTGCTTCGAGATCCTGGATCTGATCCACGGCATCAATTGGAGAGCACTGGGCTTGATGATGCAGATATAGAGTATCTACAACGCAAAGGAGCGCTCGATTTACCACCACCTCATTTATGGTTTGGCTCTCTGCACCTTAGCTCTCGTGAATGATTTGTATTAACGTTTACGTGCTAGTGATGAGTTTCTCCGTCTCTATTTTCAATTCGTCTACATCTATGCCCCTGTCATCGATCGAATCCAGTTCCTGAGAGACTACCGCAATGGAACCGTGTCAAAGTTTCTTTTCTACAGCATTCTAGCAAGTGTTACACCCTACGCTCCCACTAATTTGATCCGAGATATTGGTTTCGAGAATTATCAGTCCGCTCAGAAGACCTTTATTGACCGCGCCCGACTCCTCTATGACGTTGGGGTTGAGAAAAACCAGCTTCACCAACTTCAAGGATCTCTGGTCCTTAGCCACTTATATGTTTCATTATATACAGAAAAGGACTATCGGTACTGGCTATCAAATGCAGTGCGGATTGCGACCAAAATGGGACTCCATAAGGAAGAAGTCGGCAAGAACGCGGGGCTTCCTCTCCGCAAACTCCTCAGGCGTGTGTGGTGGGTTTTGTACAATCGCGATGCACTCCTCGTGTTCAATGGCCTCGACAACTTACGGCGGATCCATGATACAGACTTTGACACCTTAGAGCTCACGCTAGAGGATTGGGATAATGGAACAATCCCAGAGGAATTCGAAGATATTCTACAGCCAGTTACAAAGTTGCACAAGAGCTTTCTGGTGGCGAGTTGTCAATTGTCATTAATCAGTGAGTCTAATCCTGACTCTAACCCTACTATATGATGCGTTCAAGACACTCCCTCGGGATATGAACATTGGATTAATCGTTCATCTAGCGTCCCAGGTCATGCAGACAATGACACGAACTCCAGTATGGTCGGAAACTACCTGGGATGAACTAGAGAAAAAAATATTACGTTGGCAGAAAGATATTCCACCAGAGTTGCATTGCTCTGCAAATCACGAGTGGGGTGTTGACAATTTCTGGGTGCTTGTGCTCGAGGCGCGAATTCATGTTTTTAAATGCATGGTGTACCGTACAGCCCGAGATGCCTTCAAATCACGAAACCTGGACATATCGCATCGTGCAACACAGAAACTACACCACGCGATGCTCGAACTTGATACTATCATTGATCGGATTATGGTGCATGGCTTGGTAGAATATTGTCCCATGTTCCTGTGAGTTACCTTTTCCCGATATATCCAGCGCGCTCCCCCTGGCTTACTCTACTCCCTTAGATATAATTGCGCCTCCACAATCATAGCTCTCCACATTGAGCGAGCTATAGGTCAAGCCCAGGATATCCAAAGTAAACTACTCGCCTCTTTACGGATCCAAACTGATCTTGAATTTCTTCGAAAACTTTCCAGATCATGGTACCCCATTAATTGGGCAGTCCAGATGTTTGAGGTGGTTATACAACGCACTGGTCTCTCGGTGGCAATTGCTGGGGAACAAGCCTTCCAATGTGGCACTCAGGACCCCTTCAATTGCAATGATGGCGGGGACCCAGGTCATACAGCGGACTTTAATGGCGATTCATATTTATCGTCGGCAGGCCTGTGGAACCTTGATCTTGGGATCGATATCCCGTTTCCTGGATTTGAGAGGTCTGTGGGATTGATGAATGGAGAAAATATGTTTCCGGATTTCTTGTCTCGGGATCAATGGAACATACCTATGTAAGATATGGGGAACAAGGGTTCTTGTCAACTATAATAGTATTAGGTACCTTCGCATCCGTACCGTCCTTTCACTCTTTCGGATTGACAGAAGCGACGCTGCGAGTCCGGGCCCTTCTGGGCGCCCGGGCCATTACTGTACAGGTCTCCAATTAAGTAGCCAAGCTCATCAGCCTCAGGCACCATGCTTTTGAACCAGTTAGCGAACTCATAGTGTAGGAGGGGCCATCGTTAGTATATCTCAATCGACTGAAGCACACGAGTCTAGAAAGTGTCCCCACATCTGGGAAGAAGAGACAGAGCATAAGCAAGTAGAGATGAGTTTTAGTAGGCGTATTCAGGCCGGGTCCAAGTATCAATTATATACAAGGCACGTCCTAACAATCAGTGGCCGAGAATGTTCCATTGGTATTGCCAACTGCCTTTATTTCGGTGGCATACAGTAGTGCCGGACTTCGAAACTGACAACTGCGTCACGCTATAGCATGTAATCGCCCTTTAATCTTGGAGTTCAAAGGTGTCTGCTTCTACGTCTGGCTTTGGAATAATTGGCTATATCCGACCCTTATCCATCCTCTAGATAATGGAGTTTATTTACCGCTAGTATATTGGTTCTATTTAAGGCCAACTAAACGAGAATAGAAGACTAAGGGTAAGAACCGTAGAGGCGTATACTAAGCGGTCCTTTAGTAGAGTTCAAGAATTTATACAGGCTACAATCATCCTAGATGATCGAAAAGAAATAAAATCGGTATATCTATCGTCACTTCCCTCTAACACCTAATCTTTACAGCCATTCTAATTTTAAGATAGAAGATCAAAAAACCTCAATGGCGTAAGGCATAATAGTGAACTAAAAGAAAGAGAAGCTAAACTTATAAGATATGATTTCCTGAGAAGGGTCTCGTCTTTATGGCAGACAGATCATCAAACGTTTATCCCAAGGTTGCTCAAAGTGGTCATCTTATTTGTTCTTATTCTTCAACTATATCTCTTTACTAGAGTAAGAGTCGGATCTTTCATTCCTTCTAGCAAGGATAAATATAAAAGAGGTCTTCGATACAAAGTAGGGTTTCATTACTCTAGCGATCAGGCTACCTTCTTCTCTCCCTCGAACTAGTACACAGTGCTCTCTTTCGGGTTAACACTGTGGACGATCTAGCACAATTCTATTGCGATAGAAAGATGAGACCTTAGAAAAGCTAGTCCTTAGATATGCCATGGCAGATAGACCCTAAGAGGTTCCTTTAACGAAGTAAAAGTTTTGTTCCTACTTACGCTAAATCTTCGCCGCTACGGGATACTTTAGATACTTTAGTGAACTAGTAACGATCTACCGTATTCAACGAAATCTAGGGAAGAAAGTCGAAAGTTAGTCCCTATAACCACGAAAGAAACCCCGAAAGAGGCCATAGTACTAAAGTTTGTTAAGGGAAGGTATGGATCTGCACCTGTGTCTCAAACCATAGCACACTAGGGAGCAGAAACTTTTCCAGAGCATTATTAAGCCCACTGCTCCTCTATAGATATAGTGCTAGCTGCTCTCGACGAGGCGGAACAATCTGACTATATTGAGTACTTCTAAGGCTACGTCCAATTTTAATGAGCGCGGCTTGCCGAGCGAATTGCCAGCAGAAGTCCAGAAAAGTATTCTAAAAAACCAGATATGGTAAGAATGAGAGATCGGATCGACTTGTTTGAGCGAAGTCACGATGCGAACTCCCTTAAGCAGGAGAAGCTGAAATATAGGAAGGCGCAAGTTTGATATCGTCTTTCTGAGCTCAAGCAATATCAAAATCGGTGGGTACGGGAGAAAAGAGACCAGAAAATCATCATCCGGGGAAATGAAGAGCCGGCGCACTTAGAAAATGACATTTGCACACGCGCTTAAATGTTTATCGGAGCACTCTTTCCCCACCGTACTCCAAAACATCAATGAAAACTTTTGACACCAAGTAGTCATGGGCCGAGATCCAGATTTGCCCTCACTCGATCTACCACTTCACTCCATTCCCCACGTTTTCTTAGTTTGATTTCACTGGCTTATTCCCTCGCCCGATTTGAGGCCAATGATATCTTCTCTTCCTCAACTTCCCTTTCCTGACACCGTGCGTTATAACCTCCCATTGCTCTAGGATTAGCTTGATAGATTCTTCATCTATGTGGGCCGTATCTCTCGAGCCTTGGCTAAGAAGCTCTATCTCAAGAGCGGTAAGCTTTCTCGTAGACAGAGCTCTAGTAAGTTCCACATCAACCCCCTTCAGAGGATATGTGATGATTGCGGTCAAGCCTGCATATTGTCAAAATTGTTGGAAAGGAAAGTTATGGTTCCTATCTCAAGGATCACTTACCGGATAAACTTTTCGTGATGCAAGAAACTGTTCCAAATCCTATCCCCGGGAGAATGTCAAATTTGTTCCGGTGAGCGGCAAATTGTTTAGGGAAGAGTATTAGGCTGGAAAATCCATTGTAGACCCCAAATACAAGTTCCTTAGATGGTATTAGATCTCCGAAATGTGATTATAGATTGTAATTTACCTTGCTTGCTGCTGTGAGCCCGGTTGGTATGCCCTCGACAGTCTCGGGCAACTCTACATAGGGGTCACCCCAGAGTTTCGGCGCATTGTGCAAGCCTTGAGTGAATGCGAAGGCAACATCAATGGGAGCTCGAACGGCAGTAACGGAGGCTTTCCCGATTCCCTTCATGCTGGAGGCAAATGCAGATCGCTTGCCCGAGTGTATAGACCCCTTCTCAAAAATTGATCGGAAGAGCTCTTGAGCTGATGCACCAAAGTGGCTGAGCCCTCCGCCGATCTCTGCTGCTGAATCAATAAAAGCAAAAGCCATTCCCGAGAATGGATCTCGAGGCCCGATGTTCAAATTATATTTTTGCGGTCGAAGTCTAAAACAATATAGTTAACTTAGGTAGCCATGATAATATCCACTGATCATATACATACAGCTCAATTTTGTCAGTACTAAGCAAACCTCTGTTAACTAGGAGCGCCACACCACTAGAGCCGATCTGAATGTCTGTTCCTCGAATTTTCCAAGCCGCTGGGCGCGAGTTTACGATCCTGCAACTCAGATCAGAATGCTCAAGCTGATGGTGGAATGACGTGACTCCAGCATCGACGCCGCTCTCGTTACGAACTTGCTCCCCGAGTTCTTTTGCTCTCTGTTTGATATCTGGCTCAAGGGCAGCGCCGATAGCCGCAGCGAGATCGGGCGCAGTTAGTTTTTTAAACGGAATAGGCTTGGGGCCTGCGCCTATTTTCGCGATAGTATCCCCCCAGAATGGCTGATCGCCAAAGAAGGGGACGATAATTGAAGGCTTTCCACAAGCCATAGCCGCAGCCGTTGTACCGGCGCCGCCGTGGTGTACCACGCAAGAAATCTTTTCAAAAATCCAGTCATGTGGACAACTTCCTATAAAATGAACGTTGGGAGGAATCACCAAGTCTTCACTGCCTAATTCGCCCCATCCTTGTGAGATAATGGCTCGTACCCCGGCCAGCTTCACTGCTTCCAACAACAATAAAGTAAGTTCCTTGGGGTCATCTACAATTATGGAGCCAAATCCGATGTATATTGGTGGCGGCCCATTGAGAAATTCCTCCAATTCAGGAGGGGGAATGTATGGAGATGACATGGGCAAAAAGTAAAATCCCGAAATGGATATGTGCGCAGCCCAATCTTCAGGTCTTCTTATTAGAGTAGGCGACCTAGAGAGTACTAATGTGAGGAGAAAATCACTATGTAGAATGAGAGCGTTACTCACCAGCAGTAGGTGTATGGTATACGGAGTTGAGATAAGATCGTTGGTCCAGAAGATCTGTCCAGAGGCTTGAGTCCCAGAGTTTTGCGTCTGAATGAGTTGATTACGTCTCCCAACCCCTCCCACGTGAGCATTTCAACGAATATGTATGATAGGTAATTCATCACGCTTCCTTTTGAAGAAGATGCATGTAAGTTTGCCAATGGGTGAGGGAAAGAATGGGTGGGCGACCAAGGCATCCTGCTTTGTATTAGCATTTCCAAATCCATTTAAAATAACGACGCATCCCTTACGTGAACATGATATGCAAAGGTACGCCTAACTTCTCTGCACAGTGTATATGGGCAAATGAAGGCGGATTGGCGATAATCGCATTGGCAAAGAAAGGCTTCGAGTCTTCATCTGTGCTCTGAAAGCATGCTCGCCAGCAACCATCAAGGATTTCTCTGATATCTGCTCGGTTTTGTTGTATATCTCCACTTCGAAGACTGTTCATGCTGGGCATTAAGCCGGGGTTCTTTACCATATACGCCATAAGCCTTTTTGGATCGCCTCCAATATTGAAAAATTCCAAGCCGTGAGTCTCGACAAATTCCTTGAATGTGCCATGAGTCGCGATTCGAATGCGGTGTCCTGCTCGGGCAAGAGCGAGTCCAAGGGCAACAAAAGGCTGTATGTCTCCACGAGACCCAACAACTTGGATCACTATGTTGAGTGAAGGCGGCGCGTGGCAATCTTGAATCTTTGTTTTCATATCGCGTGTCTTGTAAGCTGGACGCCGCCAATGAGGTGAAGTAGTCATCATTTCGGGCTTCTCAACGTCAATATTCAGCCGTCCATTATCTGGATATCGATCAGCTTGTTCAGGTTCCATTTCTCTTTTAGCGACAGAAAGTGGATAAGTATAACCATACCGGTGATAGTGGTCTTAGCTCCTCCACAATTGACATCGTGGTTCGTGATATTGAACATCTTGTAACGAGAAGTTGCCTTAACGATTAAATGCTCGTGGGATTTCGAGGTAGGACCTTTCTTCGGGATGGTTCGAAGTATTCCAAGTCAGAAAAATCATTCAAAGCTCAGTTACACTGCATAGTGGTACAAAAGACATAGTGAGATTATCTTTTCTACGAAGTGATAGCGAGGTGCAACTGTCAACGAAAAAATGATGTCAGTAGAATTTAGAACCTTGGTTAGGCTTCTCCAAAACCCAACTTGGGTCCGACTTCTATAACCCAATCCAACCCTTGACCCAATACTGGGTACCCATTGGGACCGCAGGAAACCCCAATTTTGCATAAAAAAGAGCTCTTCCAGGCGTTCATAACCCTACAAAGTCATCGAAATAAAATACTATTTTTTTACACCTGTTCTGGTTTCACTACTATATTCTTCATGACCTCACCTGCCATAGTAGGAAATTTTAAGTATTCTCTATAAAATAGAAGTGAGAAAGCCTGGTTTTTAAATTGTTTACTTTATAAAATTATAGAATCATTTCTTATAGTACTATCTGCCTAAAATAGGAAAAATGTCAACCTGAGGCCATTCTATTGATGTCTCAGGACCTTTATATGTAGAGTTCTTTCATCATTGCAGGGGGATGGCAGCCACACTTCTTAGAAGAAGCATATGGAAGATGCATGGAATCAGCATTGTCATCGTTATGCACACAATTTGGTACAGAGATCTATACGAACCAGATCATCTCCATGACTTCCCCTTAGCCAGGATTAGTCTATATATAAAGAATACATTATGTTCTCCTCTCCATCATTGTATTACCTGCTTGACCAGCCGGTGCTATCCTGAAAACTAGTATTCTTAACACTAATACCCAAATACGGGTCTTAGGGAGAAAGCGGAAATATAGGGAGGATGATATATTTAAGCATTATTAGGATCATTTGTAAATAATCCATTATTTAAGAAATCGGAGGGCGGTCCTGCATGAATGACTTAACGATGCAACAGCTGTCTCGATGATTGTCTCAGTGAAATTGGAATAGCAGTGCAGATACTGTTTACTTTATATATGAATTTGAAATATAATATTATGTTGATCTGGCTGAGAGATCGAAATTCGAGGCAAAAGTTGAAAGTGAAATACACAAAATTACAGCTATAGAATCTTGGCATATTTATCATATCTGTTACCCAATTGGGTTCTGGAGAAGTCTGACCTTGGAATCATCAAAACCACCAAATGAAGAAAACCCATTCAATTTGACGCTTTCCAAATGCCAGTAACTTCACAGTAACCCGTCAATCGCGATGATGTCTTTTCGCGGGGCGTGATGTCATTCATAAATGTGAAATAAAACATGACGTCCTAAGCCACTCGTGATCTTCATTCATTCCTTTCTTCGGGAAGTGACCAATAGAATCGAACGATAGCAAATGTTGCTGAAGTGGTTCGATTACTAAATGATCAAAAAATGGAGCTGTCTAGATTTGATTCAAAGTTTCAGGCTTAACAATCAACTTGGGCGTGCGTAAGTTAGACGTATCTGAATTCATTTGAACAGATTTCTTAGTGAGGAAAAGGAAATTACTAGGATCATTGAGAGAGAATATGCTGCATGTAGTCGCCCCCAGGAGTATCATAGTTCCTAGAGGACCCACAGCTCATGAAGCCCATATCTATGAGAAAGAGAGAGGATGACAGGTCAGTCTCAACAAAGCAACTAAACCCACCTAGTAAAGCTGGAAAGACTGAGCTGGCAATCCCATTCCAAATCATTAATATATGGACAAAATAAATATTTTCTGAAAAGGTATGTATAATCCTGAAGATTCCGAACAGGAGCATTATACGATGGTAGTATGTTACGGAAATGTATTTGTCTTTATGTACCTAGGTATCTTTGAAATTTGTACTTGTATAGTATGGCTATATGTACTCCGCATAACGTGGATCATTACTAAGGTTCTATGAGGCTAAAGAATATGCACAAAATTATCCCATTAACCAAAAGAACAAGAAACAAAGAAATACATACATTGTTCCAATTGCAGACTATAAAAAACCAGAAAACAGATTTATAAAGCTGTTCACACGTAGACTACTCCGTACCGACATACCAGTGGAGCTGCTCCCGACCTTCCAACCTCAACCCTCCAAACCACACACTCCCCTGAAAATCCCAATCCACACCTTGACATTGGGAAATAGGGCTCAAAATCAAACCCAAACGGAACAACTCATCTCAATCCCACCAAAAAAACCCAAAAAACAACCCAACCTCAGAACTACAAACTACAAAGCAACCCCCGCACCTCGCCCAAAATGCCCGACTCGGACGACGAAGCCCTCTTCGCCGCCCTCGAAAACGAAGATGACACCCTCTACCGCGACCAGCGCATTCACCAACTAAACGCCGAGCTCGCAGCCACAAAAAACAACCACTCCGCACGCGCAACAAGCGGCACCACAGGCCTACTCCAAAACGAAGTCTACCCGACACTCTCGTCAGACCAGTCCGTGTTGGACTTCACGACGCGCACAAGCAGGTGTCTGGTGCACTTTGCGCATCCTGATTTCGCGCGGTGCGCGGTTATGGATATGAGGCTTGGCGAGCTGGCAAGTGTGCACCACGAGGTTTCGTTTGCGCGGGTGGATGTCCGTAACACGCCGTTTATTGCGCACAAACTTGGGATTAAGGTTTTGCCTTGCGTTATTGGGTTTAAGGATGGGGTTGGAATTGATCGCATTGTTGGGTTTGAGGGGCTTGATGCTAGGGGCTTTGATGGGGTTGAAGGGTTTGATGTCAAGGTCTTGGAGAAGAGGTTGGTTTTCAAGGGGATTCTTTTCGCAGTGAAGATTGGGGGTGGGGATGAGGATGATGATGTGAGGGAGGAGGAAGATAGTGATGACGGCGCTGGTGGGAGGGGATTTGGGAGGAAGAAACGTGGGATTCGGGATTCCAATCCCAATGTGAGAAACCGTGGTGACGACGACGATGATGATTGGGACTAAAAGTACTGGTTATGTGAGGTTTATACCCGTGGGGAAAGGGTATTGGGATGTTGATTCATGATTTCTGTATATTAACGGATTGATGACCTATATTGATGTTCATAGATGGATACTTCGTAACATACCCATGGCCATATATGCATATATACCAAGGCTTATACAAGCTCTAAACTAGCCATCGAAGTACCTTGGAGATCTCCACCGGGACTACGCGTATGCTCCAGGAATAAGTCTTGTGCAACTTGAGATTGAAGATTGAAGAATCAAAGTAAATGGGATTGTAGCCAGACACGAAAGAACAAAGCAGACTGTCATCATAGAATTACAGGCAAAAAAATATCAAAGACCGTAAACACAGAGCCATCTCGACGGCAAAGGCAAACCAAAACGAAAAGAAAAAAAAAAAAAAAAAGCAGAAGCATAGCAAAACAGTACCCTAGAGTTACAACAAATGCCGCGAAACTGAGGCTAGAAGAAGAACACGGGGGAATTCTATACATAGAAGCAGAAGTAGAAACAGAAGCAGAAGCAGAACGTTGTCGCACATCCATAAGCTCCACGTTGACGCCAGATGCCCTTGAAAAACCGAGACCCGAGAGAAAACAGCACTGTCCGGACTCAAAAAGCAAGGCTTATTCTAAATAGCCACGTTCTTCATTTCGCCGAGGACCTCCGATTCAATGGCGGCCGAGGACTCCGCAGAGTCGGTTTTCTCGATTTTCTCGATTTTCTCAGCCTTGTCAGATTCCTTAGATTCATTGGGCTTGGGGAACCCTTCATTCTCCTTATTAGAGATTTGTGGGGTTACAACCTCCATAAGATCTTCAGCCTGAGGCTCCTTGTCGTTTTCCTTCACGTCTTCGGAGATTGTGGGTCCTACAGCGACAGCGGGACTTGTTGTCTCCTCAGTCACGCGTGCAAGAGGACTGGACACGCCGAATGGCGTCTTGGGACTTTGAGCATTTCCACTCTTGGAGAAACGGTGCGGCGAACGGCCCCGTTCTTCAGTGCGCGTGGGGCTGCCGTAGGGGGACTCCCGACTACTGGACCGGTTGCCTGAAGCGTTCACACCCAGACCATTGGGTACAGGGCCCTTCCGGCGAGGTGCACGGCGGCCATACTTCTGATCCGTCCTCCAACGCAGGATATCCAGGTATGGGGGCTCCACATTTTGGTTCTTGAATGGTTTCAGCTTCAGCTCATCCGTCTGCTCGTCAACAACGACGTGCCCGCTGCATAGATCATCGGCGAGAGTCGCGAGGAATCCAGCCCACGACCGAGCGACGACGTATTTGCAGTCGTAATCTCGGCCGAAAATAATCACCTGGCCCCATTTTCCAGTGGGGCCGGGTGCCAGATCAATGGCCAGGTTGTTGCCGCCCCAATCACGGGCGAGGGGAATCCAAGCGGGGTGTGCGTAGGCTTTCTGAACTGCACCGGGAGGCTGGGAGTCCTGGCGCTCGAGCAGGTCTGCTTGCCACATTGTGGACGAGGGCTGCTGAGACGGACCGGCCGCGGAGGAGCTTGCCGCAGAGCTGGGTGCGGGTGGGTTTTGCATCGTGGTTGCGTTGCTGAGATATTCGTCGTTGACCTTTTTCCAGTTCCACCATTCCTGAACGATCTCCTCGCAGTCGAGCAGCATGGCGCTGAAGATGACACCGGTGGGTTGGCCGCCACGTTCTTGGCCGTCATGGACCATTAACGATTCTCGCACCTCTAGTGGCAGACTGCAGTCGAGTTCATGCTCCAATTCATTAATGTCGTTCTGGGTACATCCTTCACCGAGCTGGTCAAGGAGCTCCTCATAATTGCTTTCTAACCAGCGTTCGATCTTCCTCCAGGAGTGAGCGACCGGCGGCGGCGGTGGTGCTCCGTCGTGGAAACTTTGCATCTGAATTTCTGGCGCACCCTCGCCTTGTTCGTTCGATCGTCTTTTCTGAGATGCAACTGACCTCATCCCTGGTGAGTAGGGTTGGGTGGGAGAACCCAACTCGTCGGGGGGAGGCATTCCACTCGGATGCTTGTGCAGTTGCAGATCCTTTTGTAGGCTCGTCATCGTAGGGGTTGGAGAGGTCCGGGCGAGACTCGATTGCGCTGGTTGCGATAGATGTGAGCGGTTCGTGACGACTTTGGCTGAGAGGAACGTGTCTCCCGGTACGGTAGGGGGAGTCGTGGGAGGCATGACGGTCATAGGAGGTCATGGTATGCCAAAAGGAACGCCATGTCGAACTCAACCTGCATCATGTCAGTGGACATGAACCTTGTCTTTACATCCAGATCTAGACATCCAGAGATAAACTAACATATTCGCCATGGTGTCACAGTAGAGAAGGGGGAAAAAACGGGCGCAGGGGGGTTAAAACCGAGAATCAGGTCGCAAAATCGGTCATTGGAGACGGGGGAAAACGTGTCCCGACGCGGGGATAATGAAAACGAGGGGATTCAAAATTCAGAAGAGGGAAAGAAGATGTTGAAAATGTGAAGATGTGAAGACGTGGTAGGGGCAACCTTGGGAAGTCCAGAATCCAGAATTAGGTAAGGAAGGAGAAAAGGTGGAGGGGGGAAGAGAAAGAGGGTTTGGGTCTTTTTTAATTTCCTTGGAAACACAAGGCTTTTAAAATGCTTAGGATAATATAAATTGGTCTTCTTTTAAAATCTAGAAACTGTTAGGGTTATTTACTTCAATTGTTATGATATGACTCTATCTCATCCACCCCCCTGGCCGCATTCAGCGAGGCCTCGACGTGTATGGTATGTAGATCCCTTTGATATGATGTCGACAACCCATTCTAAGCTTTTGAATGCGAATATGGGGTATTCTTGCCAAGGATGTGTGTTTTATTGTACTGCATCCAGTCAATACATGTCTTCCAGGCTACATACAATCACACGTGTATCTGAATGCCATTGTCCAAACCCTTACGGCAAAAGCAGTTCAAATTAAGCTTCCTCAAAAGATCTGTGAAATGGAAGACCCCAGCTCCCAATATGTGGCAAGGCATTTAGGTAAAAGAAGTACATAGAAATAGGAACACGGAATCGGACATCCTGAAGTGCCGACGTCGGGTTCCCTTGACTCCGTGCTTCCCCTAACAATCTATGTACGGCGTACGGAGTATTCCGTACAGCGAAATAGATAGAAAATTAGCGCCTGGTGAGTGGATCTCGGGGAAAGGACTGTGGCTAGCGAATAGGAGTCAATAGGGCTAACAATAGGGGGAGAAGTCCACGTCTCAACAAAAATAGAAAGTAATATGCGATATGTACGGAGTAATATAGGACTTTTAACACACATGTACTCCGTATTAAGCCTGCGAATCAAACTGTTCAGTAATTCCACGATGTAGATCCTTATTATTGAAAAACTCTTTATATTCCAAGTCTAAAATATACATGGAAAACCCCCGGGGGGGATATTAGGATCAGCGCTGGGCTCTTATAGGCTTGACTCCACATTAGAATAAGGAAACCTTCCAATTTTGATTCGTTTCAACGGTGTGGCTAGTTCAGGGCTTGGTGCGATATCCATCTTGGCGTTCAGGAACTTTCAGGAACTTGGCCGGACCTTTGTTATTCCTTTAGCTCCACATTTACGCCGACAACATTATCTCTCCTATACCTGAAATACAAACACAAAATGTGAGATCCTGTAGTGATGGATCATTTAAGCTTTTATATCAACCATCTGAAGTCTCCAGGGCTATGTCTGTGGATTTAGTCATTTCATGGGTCATGTCCATTTTGTCACATGACCCAAATGTTTCGATACGATCAGTCTTTGAGATAACGCTAATCCAAGTATAGACTAGCGTGTTTTGGGGTATCAGAGAGTGATTTCGATCTATCCTGTGACTGCATCCATCCTTAGGATAGAGCTTATTTAAGGACTACAGGCAGGTTGTTGATAATCACAATGCCCTTTCTTATTCATTTACGCCTTGCACACTCTCATAATACTCTCAATTTTGGCCATATCCTCCCCGAAGTCCTTACCAAGCTTACGCAGCCTTATTGACTTTGACAGCATCCGTACGCGCATCTGCGCTGAGAACATAGCCAAAAATGAGAAATGGCGCGGAGGAAGGATCATTGACAACAGAATAAAGACCCATACCCACAATACTGGCTTCATCAGCCAGGGCGACAAACCACCCGATACTAGCAAGCCCGTTAATCGCACCGATGACCTCACCGCCGATAAGAATGAAGGAGAGGAAGGCCGAAAGGAAGAACAGAATCTGTCGCTTCCACATTTTCGTGTCAATTTCCTCTGCTGTGCCAATGACTTCCTGCATCGATACGATGACCTGGTGAATCATCAAAATGGGCACTGACACAGCATTGACCATATCCAAACCGGTCCTGCTGCGGCGTGCGTAGATGCACTGTGATATGATGGTAATTTTGAGGCCTCTGTGAAAGTCCCCGGACCCATATCGGCAAGTGCGACGGAGACTCCGCCATTTTGCATTTCGTGGACAAGTTGACGGAACTGTGCGTTGGCGGTAGTGCGGTGAACAGCTGTGTTGCCCTCCGTTGAAGGTATAATGGTTGATATTGTCTTTGTTCCCGTGCCATTGCCGGCGAGCAGACCGTTGATCAGATATCTCATGCGCTATCCCGTGTTTACTATGTCGACTTGCAGATGGCAATCGTTCGTTAGCGTTGATGAGCACTACATCAGGGCCATAATTCAGACATCCTTGCACAGCCACTTTGACTTGGTTGATTGTATCACCCGAGTGGGCCTCAACCTCCTGCAAGTCATTGTCAGTGTATAAATATATATATGACTTAAATAAGTTAGGAAGGCCGAATACGTTGTCAAACATATCACGGTTCGTTTTGGTCCTTACCATGTCAACCCCCCAGTCATAGAACCGTAAAGCATCACGCAGAGGTTTGTGGTATCCGTTGCCGCTGGCTGACAGAAGACCCCAGGTAATGTGTAGTACTAGCCTTACTATCAGGAATACCGATATGAGGGCATCAAGACATCTCCTATCCCGTTGCCTGAGCTATATAGATGAAGGATTTTGATAGACGCTCCCCTGTTCTATTACCAAAGGTTAAAATGAAGCTTCCATTTGTCCCCTGTCTCTTCGCTAACGCGAGTACGGTTCTTGTGGGCGAGATTCGCGGCGCCTACCGACATATTTTTATCTGATAGGCCTACCAGGCCGCAGCGAGGAAGACCTAGCAAAAGGATTAATGCTTTGGTGAGTTAATACCAAAAAGACGGATTTGAGTGGGAAAAACGCTTGGCTCATAACAACGCGCTTGAGGCGGCCAAGATGGCTGAAACTAGTATTGTCCAAGGGAATTGTTAGCTGCTATATTCACTTGCAGGTTGTCCGGATTGTGTGATAGACGAAGACGTGCAACCAATTTTGTATGTTATGTTGAAGAAAGGGTCGGGGCGATCCGGTTAGCGTTGCGCTAGGTTATATTACGTCTCCACCAGGCATAAGGTTGCATTGTTGTGAGACAATACGTTGTAAATTCGATATAAAGAGTGTTCTCAAAATCGGCAGTGAGATGGATTATACCCAATAGATTGCTGGTCATACTCAGCTGATTTAGGTTCTGCATATCTCGATACCGATGGCAGTGCCACAACTGGCAACATGTGTAGATATTCCATTATCCTCCTAATTTGAGCTGACTTTAAAGTTGTAGAAGAAAAGGTATAATATATCCATGGGTATACGTAGAAACCAAAATGAGCCCCACAGTACGACGTTAATCCTAACCTCTCCTTCCACAGCCCCTTTGACGGTATCCGCCACGAGGTCTCCCTGGATTCGGCCATAAGCCCAGCATTTTACGATCTTCCTCCGATTCCACATATGGCGCATCCCTGTACACCTCACCAAGATCTAATTCCTGAAAGGGGGGGGGACGGTCGTATCGATGGATCCTCCAAGCATGTATTCAGCAGGAGATTCTCCACTAAAGAAGGTGTAGCATCGCCTTCGAAATCGAATCCAGTTTTGCCGAGGGTTATATCCCGCACAAGGACGAGATCCTCCTTAATCATGGGATCTATCTCCTGGGCTAGCACAGCCATAGGCCATGTATCCGTTACATCAGGTCTCTCTGGCCACATAGATTCGAATTCTTCAATTGGCAAACCCAAGTCAGAAAACTCGCGTCGATCGAGTTCTAGATCCGTTGCTTTTTGTTCAATCTTCTCGAGGTAGTGGCTGTTTCTAGATCTCTCGCCAGCCCGCCAAAGGAATATATACGGGGTTGCATTTAGACTGTTAAACAGGCCTTGATAATTGGCAGTTATACAAGCGCATGCAATCTGCGGTGTCATCGATGGACGGAGCCGTACTAACTCGGTGTAGGTAGAAGTGGCTGCAGTTTTGGGGAACCATATAAGAACTGGGAGGTCGGTATCTGGCGTGTTGTCATTCAACAAAGACAAGTCGTTATTCAAAATGAGTCGGGCATAAATGGCCTGTCGAACGGAGTCGGAAATCTCTTGAGTCAACCACCATTGGGCGAAGAACGGGTGGTGATAAATTCCCCGAATAACACATGGCAGCTCGTCGTGGATCATGGTTGGTCGGCGTAGCCGTGTGTAGCGGTCGATGTTGCCTGACCACGCTGCCATCAGAATCAATAGCTCCTTGTCAACAGTAGGAAGATCAGCGGGTGGTGGTTCGCATAATAACCAGACAGCTTCTGGATCAACCGGTCGCGCCCCGGGTAATGTTCCTTCGGCATCGAGGCATCAGTCCTCGGTGATATCAAACGTAGGATGCTGCATAACAAGGAAGGTGCTCTTCCCCACCGGTAGGGTTTGATTTAGCATAGACCGCACAAACGTATCGCCGTTTAAATGGGCTCCAGAAAGTAGGGGTGAGTGGAGACAGCGGTTGTAGTCATCCATACAGGCCCACCTGGTCGGTTGTTGATGATGCTTTCGTAAATTGCCTGCCCGGACGTCCGATTGTCGCGCGCTTCCTCTGCAATAGCCACGTCTGGTAGCAGGTCTAGCTCCAAATAGAGAGAGGTGTAGCCTCCTGCAGCGCATGCGCGCTCGACCTGGTACTGCAATAGGTCGTTCCTAGGGTATCGCTCTAGTAGGTCTCAGAGAGTCTGTTCGGCTGGGGTATCTGGATGCCAAAAACAGTAAGGGAAATCGTCCGGTGAATTCATGTTTGGTACTCGATTGCTCATAATCGCACGCGCATTCAAAGCGTGTGTGAATTCAGGAAGATATCCGTGCGGCTCCTGCGCGAAGCCATCCTGAATGCGGATTCCTCACACAACGCATAAGCGAGTCTTTTGATACGTCGGATTATCTGAAACTCTTTTACTTTGAATGGCAGCTAGATATCCTCCAGATTCATCCCAGCCATAGAGTTGGGATGAACGGATGGATGTCATGGCGAGGACTGATAAAACCGAGAGATAGGTCGGGACTGCCTATATAAGTAAGGCTGTCTTCAATGGATTTTTGATCTCTCCTACCGCCTGTTGGGTCACTTGATATCCATGACATGGAATATGTCTTATCTCTTAGGGGTGAAGAAGAATATACGAAATAGTTGTACGGATGAGCTCGGGTTTACCATGCAGGCATTAGTGGACTAGTACAGATGTAGTTCCCGAGACCCCACTAGTCTTGGCAAGGGTCTCACAATGTTGGAAGGAGCCCTAGAGGTTGCCAAGAGAGTGTAAGACTGAATCTCGTGGCGTTATGTATCAATAGCCCAATACTATAGTATGCCAAAACCCACTAGTAGTACTATATTAGTGAGTGAGCAGCAAGCGAATACCATATTCAAATGCCGATAGTATAAAGTACTATAATGGATAATGGTCGCACGACCTCTTTCCCGCTTGGTTCGCCCGTGTTGACATACTATATATAAGCCTCACTGAATTAGGTATAGCGTGGGGATGAGGGTCTCACTCTGGGTATTTGCCAAGATGCCAAGATAATGTAATACCCGTAGACTACGGAGTACCTACGGAGTAGGTACATCCCCAGAACCATGAGAATCATTATCTCCAGCTGATACTGTCAAACTCGGCAATATTATGTCATATCTGCAAATATCACAAGCAGATATGTGAAGTCCATTTGTCTAGATTGAGTATATCCGCCGAACAACTGCGTTTAAAGGGTCTTGGGGCCAAATGATCTTGGTAATGAACAGCCCCCTCCTCGGTTGCACATTAGCGTCAGCACAGGTGGAGAAGGGTAGAGACACCAAATCATTAAATCTGAGTACAACATAGTTCGTGGCTCTTTTTTTCCCATCCCATCTTTTTGTATTGACCTGGCATGCAGCATTCAAAACATACATTACAATGAATCTCACTCTCAACGGGCTGTCCTGGCCTACTAAGCACCTTCACACGACCACTAGAAACGGATCAACATGGGGTTATGTCATTTATCGCACTACATATACTCCCCATTCCAACGCCGCATTCCTCCGAATTATCGATCTCCTCAACTCCTACATGAAACATGGATTATACTCTGAATGCGTCTCCTCGGGAAGCAACACCCCAATCAATACAGATCCCACCTCATATCACGAGATCTGGGCTCAGCACCGTTCAATCATCATGAACCATCCAAAATTTGAAGGAGCATCGATGGATTCCATTCGCGCTCATTTCCGGCGATGGGTTGATGTACAGGAGGATCAAGGTCTCTCTACTCAATATCATATGTGTATGGTGATCGATGAAGAGTCTTTACAGACTTTGTTGGATGCTCCGTCGCCTCAAGAGTGCTCAGATGAAAAGGGCATTGACCCGATGCGACATGTGAAAGTTATACCAATGCTTCCGGATAGCGACGATGAGTTTGATGGATTTATGGGTGGATAGTGAGCTTTTTATACTGTGAAGGTGTCAATTATGGTGAAAAGGGGTCATTTAGTTATCTATCGAGGGCTGTTGCATATGTGAAGTCATCACTCCCAAGAACTATAACCCGACGCCCAACAATGCCCAATGTATGAACGAGCGCTTTGCTTTCTGTCTTTGATGGTTGTTTTTCTTTCTTTTCTTGCAGTTGGTTAAGCGATAAAGAAACCGTACCTACTTCCAAGGCTACCTTCAGAATTTTGGATTTCTGTGTTCTTCTTGCTTTTTCACTGAAGTGTTGCCCATGACTTTATGTTCCATATCGTTTACTGCCTAATGCTTCTCCCACTCGATTTTCAGAGGCTGAGTTCTGTTTTTCATTTCAATTGGCAATTATTCTACTCGTGATTTTATATTACCTGTCAAATCACCTGGTACAGGAGACTTCGTGATATCCTAGGTCTCAAATCAGCCGCCTTCCCCAATCTTGATTTCTACTCTAATGTCACCAGAGAAGTCGAGCATTGGTATGTAGCCGACCGCGGCCACAATATATATTGAAATATGGCATGCATTGCACCAAAACAGATTTCTATGGCATCTATGGACACGGGAAATAAGCTCATAGACCTATGGATTGATTCCTGATCAATGATAGGTTCACATTTTACATTTATTGATATCTAAAAAACCCTTTTACGATGCTTTGCTTAATGTCTACTGGGATACCTTTCCTAGCTATCTTGAAGACAAGAAAACTTATGCATATGGCATGCCTAGGTATTTTTTGTATTGTAGGACGCGCCGTAGTGAACCGTTATATGCATAGAGTATTGGGGGATTGTCCTGTTTGTGCGTGTAAAAAACTAGGCCTAAGGGACCTAATCTCTAAGAATATTCATCTAAGCATCAGATCTACTCGGCTACTATGTACGCCTACTACTTAGACTCCATAGTCGGAAACAAAATCTGACCAGTGATGATTATCAAATTGAGTGGCGGACACAAAAGCACATCGATGTGGACTAGCCAGATATTTAGATAAGTTCAATCCCCTTGAAACGAGTGAGGAGGATACACCAAGGTCGAAGTGCGAGATCAGTGCTAGGTCAGTCTTGAAGGACCGATCGAGACTGACCGCTGCTTCGACCAGACAAAGAAGCAGGAGAAGTGAAAACAGCCGAAAGGCCCAAAACAACAAAGAGAAGCAATGCAGAAAAACAAGAAAGCAAGAAACAGCAAAATCATGCATTTGTTAGCATCCCTCCATGCCCCAAGCCAAAACCAGGCGCGCCACCACATTTGGGAAAAACCACGACGCCAAACGATGGAGAAAAGGTATAAAACTACCACCTCATCAATTTACCAAGCAGCCAGTGCCGTGTATCATCATCATGGTGAACATTGCCGCAAGAGACGTATGGAAAGAAACAATGAGCATCCTGTCGCGGGAAAGGAAGACTAGAATAAACCAACCGAGGGACCCGAGACCAGTCGAGGATGCCCGTATGAACATAATGCAAAGGAGAAACATAGTAAAATCAAACTGAATTTAAGAGATAAGAAAAACAGAAGTGAGAAAAAAACAATAGAGAAAAACAAAAGAAACAAGCCATTCATTCAACGAAAGGGAAGAGAGTCAAGACTGTAGAAAAGAAAAATCATAATCTGACAACAGGAAGTGGAACCGCGCATAGCTATGCGAAGCTCTGGGTAGCCGGGGGTCCCGAGGTATCAAGCTTCAGCACTCGACGAATGTCATTCTCAATCTGTCTGGTGTCCACCACTCGAGAAGGAGATGGTGAGTTAAGTGGCATTTGGAATGAAGCCGACGCATGGGTTTGCTGAGGAGAAGCATAACCAGACCGCTTAGGCTGAGAATTTGTCATGTACGGATTGCCATATGGCGCCGGGGAACCTCCGCTCGAGGTGCTGTTCGAGACTGGGCCACGATACGGAGGCATCGAAGGGGGCGGCACAAGGTCAACCTCACGACGCAGTGGTGAGTGAGAATGGGTCGGGTATTGGTACTGGGGACGTCCGTTGTTCTGAGGAATAGGCTGCTGCTGCAGCTGGTGGGGGGAGAATGAGCCATGCGACATGGTCAACTGAGGGCCAGACGAGGTTCGCATAGGTGTCGCATAGGGGGGCACATTGGAAGGGCGGGGCCCAAAAGATCCAGCATAGTCGGGAGAGGCATACGCCGAGGAAGGTGGCTTCTGTGGAGGTGGATTGAGTAACAGATGCTTCAACTCCTCAGTCTTGACCCGTCGCTCCTCCTCAGACATGTCAGAGGACTGAGGGGTACTTGAGGGTCTCAGCGCATTCATACGGTCCTGGTAAGAAGGAGCGAAAGAAGGGCCAATCTGAGAGTTGCGATTGTAATCAGAGTTCCCCATTTCAAATGCAAACATGCTATCAGGATTTGGGCGCACGGCCCGGGGTTCGGTCTGGGGAGACTGAAGGACCTTGTTCACCTCAGGGCTGCTAGTGGATTTCTGGTCTCTGGCTTGCACAGCAGCCTTGAAAAGGAAGTCAAGAGGAGAAGGCTTCTGCTCTTCGCCCTTAAATTGGTTGTTGCGGTTGCGAGGTTTGGACGGAGTCACCTCTGGTTCGGGGTCCAATTCCGCCTCATCACTATCGGTCTCGATAGGTGGGACCAGATTGGCATCAGGAGCCGACTTGGAGAAGAAGCTAGGAATCGGTAAAGCAGATGGCGCAGGCGATGCATGGAATGTCGGTCCCGCGTAGGCTGCGCTCGGCTTTGTCTGAGGAGATGTGACAGCAGGGTGAGTTGGTGTGTGCCGGGGACCGCTATTGTACCCGTTGCTATGGTATCCAGAGTGCGGGGCAGGTGAAGCCTTGTTGTCTCTGGGCTTCTTTCCTGAACGCATAGGCTTCTTCTTTGAAGAGTTGAAGTTGGTTGAGGGATCCATCTGGATGACACTGGGGCTCATGTTATGCGGCGGGGATGATGGAGGAGTAGAGAGGAGCGCCGGTTTCTGGGCGTGAGGAGTCGTATTCTTCTTCTGGGGGCGGCGGTTGTTGCGCGAACCCTTAGGGGGTGGGGGGATGAGGAGTTTGAGCCGACATGTCGACGGTTGGCTTGAAAAATAGGCAGCCTGTGGAGAGAGGTAAAGAGAAAAGGCAACGCTATGACGAAGCAGTAAAAGGCAGAAGATGCGGAGATTGTAGCAAAATAGGTCAGATCACTGCTCAGCAGGTGTCGACAATATTAGATATGGCAACGCCGGGGAAGCAGAGAAAGTGACGTGTATCAAACGGAGGGAGTGAAAGCGTCGCAAGTTGAGTCAATCAGATGTCGCTCCAAGGCAAACATAGACAGTCTATTAAAAGATCTTGTCTATTCAAACGAAGAGCGTAACAAAAGTCAAAAACGAAGATCAACTGGAGGCATCTCTAAAGAGGAAAAAAAGAAGAGAAGAAAAGGAAGATTGAATCATTGTTGTCCGTTGAAGGGAAAGACCATCGAACGCAGACAAACGAGGGGACCCCCGATCTGATCTCGATGACTAAGGACGCCACCTGCTTCGCGATATCAAGAACAAACACGAGTCAAACAGAACTATCAACTGCTGGACAGGGTCGCATTGTTTTATTGTGCATTGAGTACCTTTGGAGAGATCACTTGTTTTAATTCCCCCAAAAAGGAACCTCGTTCGTTCTATCTCGCTCATATACTACAATCACCGCCCTCCATCACCGCCCCAACCTAGGCATCGGAGCCTCACTTACGTCAGTCACAGTTCTGATCCCCCCACCACAGCTAGCTTCTGTTGTCTCGCGCCAAGAATTTCAAACCGAGACCATCCAAATTCCGACAAGAACCTCAATATGACAGACGTGGAGATGAAGGAGGCCGCTACTGGCTCTTCCAAGGGCAAGGCCGTTGCCAAGGGTTCCGATAATGCCGACAAGAAGAAGTTCGAGGTCAAGAAGGTACTAAAAGACCTCCTGTTCGGTGCGACTCATAATACTGACTGGTTCTTCTCAAGTGGAACGCTGTTGCCCTGTGGGCTTGGGATATCGTCGTCGACAACTGTGCCATTTGCCGAAACCACATCATGGACTTGTGTAGGCTGAAACCACCTTCCAAAGCTCTCTTATCTTACAAACTGACCGACCGACAAAACAGGCATCGAATGCCAGGCCAACCAAGGATCATCAACAACGGAAGAGTGCACTGTTGCCTGGGGTATCTGCAACGTGAGGACCCCCGCATCCCCCCGTCTGACCGTATGATCATCGGCTAATCACTCACTTTCTATAGCATGCATTCCACTTCCACTGCATATCGAGGTGGCTGAAGACCCGTCAAGTCTGCCCGCTAGACAACCGAGACTGGGAGTTCCAGAAGTACGGCCGGTAAAGAGGGGCAGGGAGTTCGAAGACATTACACGATACAAATTCACGATTTCTGGCTGATGCCGCATGCTCAATTCAATGGCTATAACTTGATATTTTTTTTCCCCGAAGACACTTCTGGATCTTTACGGCGGCCTAGGGTTTGGGCGTTCGAACGATTGACATCTCGAGCCAGCTCCATAGTTTCCCATTCTCATATTCCGTAGCAGACGAGAGCGCTGCCCAAATGCTTCCAATGATTATTACGCTTGACAGTTTTCCCAACAATAGCTTATTGCACCTTCACCCCATCCACAGTTATACCAGGAGTTGCTCTCGCGCTTGGTGAGCCCAGCCACTTCTCTGGGTTGCGGTTGTATACCGGCCAGGGTGGGACAACGACGAAAGCTGTAAACAGTGTGCCCGCCAACCCGGTCCATAACGTAAGGTGGATGTCCTTGTAGATGTATCCGACAATAAAACTGGCGGCCTAGCGCAGATAATTGTTAGATGTGGTAATGCAAGACTCAATATTCGAGTAACTTACCCCTGAAATAACCAGCAAGATGGTCGACAGTAGCTCTGCTAGGCGTTGGCCGTGGAAGTCCTGTTATCGAGATATTGTTAGCTTGGATCGCCCGCGCGGAGCAATAACAATGAATAAAGACAGTGCAGCGGGGCGTACAATTTGGCCTTCAATGGCATCCTGAATAGGGGCGAGTAATTCATCCATGATTGAAGCAAGTTATTCAAATTCGAGGTCAACAGGCCAGGTTCGAGGGTCCCTTGATCGATGCTGGGCGGCTTATCGCAATGGTGTCATTTGCCTTCTGCCACGTCGGACCGCCTTGCTCTCTACACTATATACACAGCACTTCGTCGAAGTACGTACGAAGCACGGAGTACAACCTTGCAAGATAATTTTGATTCCATATGGGGTTGTCCCTTGAGAAATTGAACCGATATTGAACTTTAATCGTTACGTGGTTGATCATGATTTCATTCGATGTCATCTGCCATCTATCTCTAAAACCAAAAACAGACAGTCCACCCAAATTGGAGCACTGCTGATGGGAAACCGGTCTCGAGAAACTCGGTCTACGATCGTGTACCAATGTACAAGACCCTAAAAATCCAAACGTAACCCGAACCCAACTTGCCGTGTCGGAAGGCTCACATGCACCCTGCAATGCGAGAAGCAAGGAGCGGTGAAAAACGAGATCTTGCATGACCCATGTGGCGGTTAGGGAAGAAATCTCCCCATATCCAACCAGATACGAGTTCCCCCTCGGGTTCCAATGCTCCAATGCTGCGTGCTTGTATGTCAAGCACAGCGAACCGCTGACTCGCAGACAGCGATCGTGTTATGACGACAGAAAAAGGCACCGGCATTTAGTTATAGGTGACAGTTGCGCCATCATGAGCAGGCTCCAGCAGCTTCCATTGGCACGAGATATCATTGGAAGCGAACTGTGCGATAATGCGGTCAGCAATCTCGGTGAAGCGATCCGTGGCCAGTGCCAGGATGGTAGGTCCTGCACCGGACAAACAGATTCCTAGCAGACCGGGTTGGGTGGCAGGGGTCATGGATTGGAGAATCTCGGTCAAGCCTGGGATCAGCGTCTTGCGATACGGCTGGTGCACCTTATCCTGCATGGCGAGGAAGATCATATCAGGATCCGGTGGGGAGCTTCCCAAGGCCGCAGGGAGGAGTGCAGCGCGCTGGAGATTGAAGACCTAGCTGGAGATTAGTCTGGAATCAGATAGTTTATCGATTTTGAACATTCACATACCACGTCCGCTCGCGAGTAGGTTTCCGGGAGTACATTACGGGCGTTGGCAGTAGGCACCACGAAGTTAGGGATAATGGCAATGGCCTTGATCTCAGGAGCCCAGTTGAACTTCCTGTAATGACCAATGGCCATGGGTGGTGCGGGGGGTCTGATACCGGTGTCCACACCACCTGCCGGGGCCGGCAGAACTTCACTGAGAGGGATCTCTTTGCGTGCCACATCCTCGGGCTTAAGCTCATTCAGATAGGTACCCACGAACCCACCGAAGAGGGAAGCAGCCACGTTATCCGGGTGCCGCTCTGTCCGTATAGCGTTAGTAATATGTACGACATACGATTCATAGTTTTGTTGTTTTTTTTTTCCCGGGGAGACTCAGATGAGGGGCACATAAAACACTCCAACCTACCAATCATCAAACAAAAGTCGAGTAACCGTTCCTTGCTCAGACCCAGCTTACCCACCTCATTGCCCAGCATGACACCGGCGACGACGGCGGTACCAGAGGAACCCAGACCCCGGCCTAACGGGATAGGGTTGACGATATGCACCTTGGTCTCGACGGGGAAGGCCCGCTGGTCATGGCATCTGAGGACATACAGGGCTACACGGGTGATCAGATTGACTTCGGGGTCGAGACTGATCTGCTCAACACTCTTGCTTTGGTCTTCATAGGTGATGGCGCAGTTGAAGGGAAGCTGGGATGAGGGTTTGGCCTCGACGGTGACGTGGAGATCCAAGTGGAGGGACAGTGCCAGACCGATCACATCGAACCCGGGGCCAATGTTGGCAGAGGAGCAAGGGATCTTGATCACGAAGGAAGACATGATATCGATGACTATATCAAGTGTGTTACAAGGGTCTAAACACATAAAATGTACAAGATCGTCTGATAGTCCGGTATGTGACTCTGAAACTCTTGGCGCACCAAAAAAATTGGCCGACGTCGGAAACGTTAAGTGGGGACCTTTTTCTTTAATCCATTTGAATTTCTATTCTTTTGGATTTGATTTGTGATTTAACGTTTTAACATGGATGTCAGATCCGATTGCATTTATACTGTCGGTGTGTTTCCTGATTTGATCCATTGATGTTCCACATAAAAAAGGCAAAACATAAGAAACATAACAAAAAGGGGGGGTATTTTTTACCGAGATAAGTTGCTCTAGACTAATCTTATTGTGTCAGCTAACCTGAAAATACCCCAACTGCCAAGGGGGACAAAGATCGAAAGGCTAATATGTGCATGGGTCGTGTAGGTAGTATATGGCTATATGGCTCTATATGACCAGATGTATAAGAAGTCAAAGCAAAGACATTCGGCACAAAATGCCTCAAAGGCAATAGACAAATTATTTAGTATAGCCAATAATAATAATCATAATAATAGGTTATTTTATAGTCTTACCCGTTCTTACTCGTATAGACCCTTTTTAGTCCTTTATCTACTGAAACGGGGCCCGCTTGCAAAAATTTTCACACCTGTCTCCCTTTTTCTCGGGCATACAATATATTAGTTCTAGTCCCCCCACTGTTTTTTTCCCTTTTTTCTCCTATAATCGCAGCCCCCTGAGGTGCTTTTTATATTGAATATCCTAACTCTTTTTTTTTTTGATATCCCCGTGGTGACTCCTGACTCTGTGGGCTTCCGGAACCACCTCGGCATCATCGACTCCATTTGGTCTTTGCCACTTCATTTTATACCTTTTTCCCACCCTTTCCCGCTTTTCCCACTAAATTTATTCCACATTATTTTACGATTCTAAAACTAGAATCTTCATTTGATCTCAGCTGAAGCCCAAGAATTCGAAATCGTTAATCGTTGAACTATCGGCGATTTCGCGCATCCCGTCTAACAGCAATTCTGGAGCCACCAAGCTCCTCATCCTCCCACTTCTTCAAGTTGGCGGGACTTCGCTACTCCAAGGCCTCTCTCCTCCACCCTCTTGCAGGCCCTAAGTTCCGGGTCTTCGGCGGGGGCGACACCAGACCCCCTAACTGGGTTTCAAGAAAGACCTTATTGTGGCCGTCAGACGTTAGTCGGTAACGCCAGACCCTCGTGAAGGGTCTGGCTTATGGATGGAGGGCCGTCACCCTTGAACGAACCTCTTACCGGCTTGCGTCTGCTCCGGCCGTCGTGCTATCAAAGAGCAACTCTAACTAAACCAAACTTCCCACAAAAATCTGCCAATCTGGCGCCCTAAATCGTTTTCGTCGAATCCTCTTATACGGAGAGCTCACCATGTCTGAGTCTCCCAGATCCGAGAGGTACATGTACCTAACTAGGTACAGTACCCCGGTACCCGAACTGGATGATCACCGCCTCCAGATGCAGACGCCTCCACGAATTGAGGCCCCGGTCGAGCGTTCTTATAGCCCGCGCGATACCACCCAAGGCCCTGAAATGATTGATCGTCCAGACTTACTCAGTCCGCAAGATGCCCGAAGGGACGGACCAATCCCCCGAGACTTCGAAAATGCCGCGGAAGACGACCGTTCGCTGAACGAGTTGAATGGACTCGGTCGACGATTCTCAGTCGACCATAACGGCACTTACCAGACCCCTCGTCGCATCAGCGTCGTGAACCCGGATCTCGCCAACGCTTCCTGCGCCTCGTCTGTGTCCGCTCGATCATCCTCTCCTCCCAATTCAGTCGAAGCTTTTGCCGACCCGCGTCGCCGTGAGCGCGCCAATACCCTGGACAGCCATGCGCCTCCCGACCTAGAAGCTATCCTGCAACGCACCGTTTCGGGTGGTACCCACAACCGGCGTCCGACTTTCAGTAACGCCAGTGTCATCCGCCCTCAATTGGGTGATGTGCCATTCGACACGACAGAGGAGGCTTGCTTCGACGAACCAGGCCGTATTCCCGTCATTGATTACGAGGAACTTGAAGAATTCGTGGCTCTGAATCCGAGCACCAAAGTCGGCGATGGCGATCGTCGCAAGCACAGCATGAGCTCGCAGAGCAAGAGGCCCCGCATCTTCTACGACCTCCGTCCTGGTGCCGAGAGCCCTGAGATGGGTGCAATCAAAAAGACCAGCTCGTCTGATACATTGAGTCAAGATGAAAAGAAGGGTGCTGAGGTTACAGATGAAAAGGAGCGGGTCAAGCCTCTCCAGAATACAACCCAGCGCTCTCGCTTTGGGTTCTTTTCGTCCGAGTCTCAAAGCACAGTTCATGCTGCCGATTTGGGAGATCTGGTGCTCCCTGGGGAAACCTTCCGAGATCTTTTCGAGCTTGGACCGGAGGGAGGTGTGTGGTGGTTGGATGTGGTTAACCCCACCGATGAGGAATTGGGAGCTATCTCGCGGGCTTTCTCTATTCACCCGCTGACAACGGAGGATATTCAAACCCAGGAAGCCCGCGAGAAGGTTGAATTATTCAAACAGTACTACTTTGTCTGTTTCCGGACCTTCTTCCAAATGGACAAAACCAGCGAGGAATTCCTCGAGCCTGTCAATTTCTACATGGTTGTCTTCCGAGACGGTGTCCTCACTTTCTCTTTCGAGGAGAACCCCCACGCATCCAATGTTCGGAAACGTATTGGAAAGCTGCGAGACTATGTATCTCTCAGCAGTGACTGGATCTGTTACGCGATGATCGACGACATCGTGGATAGCTTCGGCCCCGTGATTCGAGATGTGGAATTGGAGTCCGAGGCGATCGAAGACCATGTATTCATCGCCCGAGTCGACGATTTCGAATCCTTCCTCCCTCGCATTGGAGGCCTGCGCAAGAAAGTCATGAGTTTGATGCGCCTGCTAGGCGGCAAGGCCGATGTCATTCGTGGATTTTCCAAGCGCTGCAACGAGCAGTACTCGGTTACTCCCCGTGGTGATATTGGTCTTTACCTGGGTGATATCCAGGATCACGTCGTGACCATGATGTCGAACTTGGCGCATTTCGAAAAAATGCTCAGCCGGTCTCATACCAATTACTTGGCTCAGCTGAATGTTACCAACTTGGTGCTGGGAAACCACGTCAACAAGGTTCTCAGCAAGGTCACCCTGATTGCTACGATTCTGGTCCCCATGAACCTGATCTGTGGTCTGTTCGGTATGAACGTAGAAGTTCCCGGCGCGCACACAGAGGGATTGACGTGGTGGTTCGGTATTCTTGGAGTGATGGCAGGTATTGTTGTTGTGAGTATTGGCCTAGCTCGCTGGCAGAGGCTGGTTTGATTTTGATTTTTATCATTGATTATGTTGACTTGCTATCTTTCCTCGACTTTTTCTTCCTGTTATTTTGCATCTTGCATCTTGCTTGTCTGTGATAGTTTATTTTGTCCCTTGTTTTTTTGTTGGTTTTGCGCTACAATATCTATTCGACTGAATATACTTTCCATATTCCTTTGCAAACGACCTCATAAACTTCTTGAAATTTTGTGTGGCTTGAAATCCAAGCTATATGCATTAGAATCATTCAACTTCATTCTAGTACCCTATGAAGCCACAGTTAGTGCTCCCGTAGGGGGTCTGAGCTGTCTGGCCAATGTTCCTTCGTTGATTTGCATTCTCAGCTGCCTGTCCTTGTAGGAGTTTGGCGTCCTGATTGGATAGTGTCCTCAGCTCAATTTACTCAGATCCTGACCCCGAGTGCCTTCATACACAGGGCGGAGTAGGTAAGATAGGGAAGTCCTATCCGGCAGAGGATATATGGTATCCATGAATATTTACGGAGTAGATAGTTAGATGTACTTATGTACGCGCGGTCCTACGTGTTCTAAATAAGGCAGCAAGGCAGCCAAATTGATAAGGCTGGCATTTTCCCCGATAGCCAGCTTTCATCCAAACAACGCTCACATCGACTACATGCAGCCGCTGGTTTTGCCTCCAGCAAGAGGTTTACAGCTGGTGTATACCACCGCTTGCCCGTGATATATTTACTGGTCAACTTAAATTCTGCCCATTGGCTGTGCAGCGACACCCTCCCCTCCGTCTTTCCATGCGACACCAATACAACGCGTTGCAGTGCTATCTTACTGCAACGATTAGCGCGATCTTCCTCACTTTCGTACTCGCCTGCGACTCGGTCGCCTATGCTGATACCCCCCATGGGCCGGATACAGAGAACGCCTTGAACCTCCGAGGGTTGGTTACGAGTGACGGGGCAGGACTCCCACTTGTGCTGGACTCATTCAATGGGCTGGAACTTCGTGACAGTGTCGACGAAAATGGCGAGTCAAATGGGCTGGACCTCGTGCGCAGATACCCAAATGCTGCAAAAGCATTGGGTAACAATCAGTTCGAGACGCGAGAGTCGTTCGAGATCGGCGATGTCCACTGGTTCTACCTGCCCAAAACAGTGGTGAACGGCAAGCATGACACCGCAGGCCCCGGTCTTCCTGCATACATAAATTCTACAAAGGAAGATGGCGATGACTCGAACAATGAGCTACGGAAACGAGATATGGACTTTTCGAAACGAGCGACGACGACAGTCTACTTATCGCTCACGACCTGCCAGAAACCATATACCAACAAAACCAGCGCCCACGGCGCATTCCCGCAGTTGCAACTGTATGTGTCGACCTCGCAGAAACTGCAAGAGCCAGGACCGGGCAAAGATGACTCGTTGCAAGAGATATACACTGCCGTTGGCGGGTATATAGGAATCACCGTAGACACCGACAACGACATCTTCATCGGCGTCGCAGCACCTAATTCAACCGACTACACGGGAGTTTACAAGTATCAGATTGCAGCATCCATCGATGCCTTTTTCCACAATATCGTGGATGATGAACCAAATCTGTTCTTCATCGACGCGGACGTGTCAGCCGCGCTGCTGGTGACGAACAACCTGACCCAGTCCGAGAAAAACTCCACGAATTACAAGCAGTGGATGGACATCGTCCCTCCGTATACTATGTTTGCCCACAATATCAACGACACAGCATTGGTGGGCTTGGAGAAATCGTTCTGCGCCCTCGATGCGCTTTCGCAGGTGGGCCGGATCAGCAATTCAACCGAGGTTGGCATGACCAATCGCGGACTTGGGAATAAGCCCAAAGAACAGTTCTATATTACTGGACTGAACCAGAGTTCATCGTACAGCGGTCTTCTGGCAATGGTGGGCAATTCGACCGCGTCCGGGAATGGCATCATCGGCGGCGGCGGCCAGGTATGGAAACCGATGAATTTCACGACCAAAGCAGGTAAGCAAGCCCAAAAACCCTACAAAAACAATTTCATTCTAACCATCCTCCAGACAACAACTGTGGCGTGCTTTTCAACCTAACCTTCTGCTCAGAGGTCGCATACGCAGTCCCCTCAAACCCTAAACTAAGCGTCGACAAGCTCCGCACAATCTACGATGACTACGCCGCCGCCTTCTACCAGAACTTCACCTATTCCCTCCAACAAATCCAGTGTAAAACCAACGAAGAATCCATGTTCTCCCTCGCCGTCAGCTGCGACGACTGCGCAGATGCCTACAAACAATGGCTCTGCGGCGTCACGATCCCCCGCTGCGCGGATTTCAGTAACCCTGCCGACTACCTGGCGGTCCGTAACGCAGGCCAGGCTTTCATCAATGGATCTTCTCTGCCAGATGATAGTCCGTACCGGCAATCCGTGGCGTCGAATACATCCCGCAATGCTATCATTGATGAGCAGATCATGCCAGGTCCCTATAAGGAGATTCTGCCGTGTCAGGATATCTGTCATACCCTTGTGCAGAGTTGCCCATCTGCACTTGGCTTCGGGTGTCCTGAGGGCGCGTGGTTGAATTCCTCTTATGGATATCGGAATTCAGATGGTATTATTACTTGTTCTTATCTTGGAGCTGTATATTATTTGAGTCTTGGGGTGAGACTGGGTGCTTGGAGTTGGATGTTTAGTTTGGTGGTTATGGGGGTTATGTATCTACTGTAAATAGGCATGATCAATTTTTACTTGAGCTCATTAATAGCATTAGTAATATTATTACATAGATATGGATCTCTCTACAACATAAAAGTGCATCGAAGTGGATGCGGATGCGGCATATTATTACCCTTTTCGATCAGAAAATAGTCCAAACATGCCGCAAATACTCCGCACATGACAGTGTACTTTATCTCTTTATGTCTTCCTCTTTTTCTAGCATTTCCCCCACTTGCTTATAAATAGTTGAAATCCAAACTTCTCAGTTGACCACTCCTCTATCACAATCTTCACCATGGCATCGAGTCTTCCCGCTACAACTTTCCGCAAGGGCGCTACAGCACTCATCACAGGAGCCGCTTCAGGTATTGGACTTGCTACAGCGCAACGATGCTATTCACACGGAATGAACCTGGTGCTTGTCGACAATAACGCCGAAGCCCTTTCACAGGCAACAGCCAAATTCACTTCCGACGGACGCAACACCACCACCAGCAGCCATATTCTCGACGTCTCATCATTCGATGCATGGCAACAGTTGGTTCCTAAAATCGAGTCCCAATTCCCAGACGGTATTGATTTCCTAATGCTCAATGCCGGCGCTGGTATAAGTCCAAACGGGGGTAAGGGGATGTGGGAGGATCCGACATACTTCGAGAGGACTTTTGCAATCAACACGATGGGTTATACGAATGGCATCGTTGCTCTCCTGAAAACGGTTACCCGGAACAAGGATGTCCCCCGGGCTATTGTGATGACTGGCTCCAAGCAAGGTATCACGAATCCTCCCAGTAACCCTGCGTACAATGCTTCCAAAGCCGCTGTACGGTCCATTGCAGAGCATTTGTCGTTCGATTTAGATAAAGCTGCTCCGAATGTTAGTGTCCATCTGTTGATTCCTGGGTGGACTTATACCGGTTTCCACACCGGACACTTCAAGGAGAAGCCGGCGGGTGCGTGGACTTCTGAGCAGGTGGTTGATTTCATGGTGGAGAAAATGAAGGAGAAGAAGTTTTATATTTTGTGTCCGGATAATGAGGTTTCGGAGGAGCTTGATCGGAAGCGGATGTTGTGGTCCACTGGGGATATCCTGGAGGGTCGGCCCCCTTGTCTCGTTGGAGGGAGGAGTGGAAAGAAGAAGCTAAGCGTGAGATTGAAGGCTGAGTTGGAATTTCGATAGACTAAAAATCAAACAGAAGTATTGCACTATGCTTTGCCTATTATGGTATTACACTGATAGATCTGCCCAATTTGGTCTGAGTTTAGAGAATAGCAACAAATATAGGTATGTTAGGTACGTTGTAATAAACAATCACCATTCCAACTCTTTCCTCTTCGCCAATTTCTCTTCTTTCTTCTCACTCTTCTTCTCCTTTGGAATATCCGTCCCGTCTTCAACGGCCCAATCCCCCCATCTCTCCCTCCAAATCCCGATCTCTTGCTTCCACAAATCCCTTACGCAAGGATCACACGAACTGCCACAACAATCACCCAGTCCTGGTGGAGGTGGTGGGTCGTTGTATGCTCGCTCTCCTGCGCGGAGGAGTTGTTTTGTGCGGGTTTTGGTTAGACGGGTCTTGTAGAGGGTTTTGTACAGGGGTGTTTCTTCCGGGGTGTAATATGGTTCTGGAGTTGGCTGTGTTGTTGAGTCTGAAGTTGGGGGTTCGATTGATATTTTAGTTGGACTTTTGGTCTCTTTCTCTTTTTCTTTATCATTGCTTGGAGATATTGTGGTGGTTGGCTCTGGGGACGTGCTTGAGAAGGAGAATGGAGAGAGGAGGCTTGAGAGTAGATTTGCTGGGGAGTAGATTGAACGTTTGGATGTGTCTTTTTCTTTTTCTTTCTCTTTCTCTTTCTCTTTCTCTTTCTCTTCCTCTTCTGTGGTTGGTGTCTCTGCTGGTGTGGTGATCTCTTTGGCTTTGGAGATAGTCTCAGATGAAGTAGCAGATGTTGATGCTGATGAAGCAGTCTTGCTCTCTAGTGTCTCGATGCTCATCTTGATATTTGTTGAACCAGATGTCAAAATCAAATGCGTGTAAATTGAATAATATAGAGACCGATTAAGTTTCAAATCAGAATCTGTCATCTCGTTAGTGACGCTTGAACATTTATATAGAGCAAACCCACAATTTCTAGGCCAAATCCAAGCTTCCAAATATCAATTTTGGTAAAGATGTATGATATTTATGGACATGTCGTTGAATTAAAGGAATAAGAGCATGGAGGCCGAAGAAGTACCGGGCCCGGGTAAGAATTGTTTTCGTGCGGTTTCTGTTCGTCCCGATGTCCGCCGACTATATAGTCGGACTTGAACTACACTGCGTGCATTTCTATTCTTATACTAATGCTCATAGTTTGAAAATTTTAGCTAAAAAAAGTAATGGTACGTCTAGTACTGGCATCTATGATTGTTATCCGGGATAAAAAAGAAATAAAACGCCGTTGGAGTCTATGGACTCAGTGGTATCATGCAGCTGAAAAATAAAAGAAGTAAAGTCATGAATCACCATCACTTTCGCCTCGGTGTAGGCGTTCGCTTTGGTGTAGTCGTCCAAACATTCCCCAGTCCAGATTTCCTCTCTCCCGACCTCGGCGTCCCCACCTGCTGCAACAGCTTCTGCGCTGCAGGCGTAAGCATCTTTCCTTGGGAATGCCCTCCACCATAGACAGAGCCCCTACTAGACCCAACCCCAGGCGTAGACCCAGCCAGAGGCGTAGACCGAGATCCAAAGTCCAAACGAGGACTACTAGCGAATCGCGGCGTCAACGAGACAGGCGTCTTCGTAACACGGGCGGCCTTCTCAGCACGCTTGTTCCGTGCCATGCGATCGACCATACGGTGATGCAGGGCTTCACGCTTGCGAGTCTCGCCAAGTTGGAAGGGATTTGGGTTTTCAGAGGTCGGTCCGAGGAGGCGCCAGTCGATTTCCATGTCGTCGGTTTTGGAACTCGAGCCATATGTGAATTCAGGCTCCGGCTCGTCCTCATCGACGAAGGCGTAGCCGTTCACCCTCGGGGTTTCGCTACCTGCGAAGGCGGATGCGGCTTCGGACTCGCTGAGATGCGGTCGGCCGGCGATGGCATCTTGGATGGCGGATATTGAGGGTGAAGGGGGAACGGCGCTGGCGGCATCCGCTGCTGCCGCGGCATGCGGGTCTAGAAGTCTGGTATTTTGGTAGAGGGTTCGCTTGGGGGCTGCTCGGGATGTCATTTCTGCCTTCTGCGCGAGCGTCTCGTGGGTATCCTCCACCGAGGAGGGGAGGAACATAAGGGTGTTGTCTGGGCGGCTTTTCCACGTGTCTGGATTTGCGGGGCGGGCATCCAGGTCGGTTTTTATGGCGGGCTGGACATTCTCTTCTCGTTTGATAAGGCCCATTTGTGGATTTCCACCTTGAGCTGTGATGCGCTTGACTTCTTGTTGGTGGTGTGCGATTTGCCGAGCGGAGGGAATCTTATTCCCGTTCCAAAGCCAGGCATGTTTATCCCGTCGCTTTTTATTTTGCTTGTCCAGGACTTTGTTGAAAGACTCGTTGTCTTCGCTGGTGTACTTTTCCTGGAACGCGACCAGTCCCATATTCGATACATCGGGAATATGCCGGTCTTCTGTTTCAGTTGCCGCCGTGGAAGCGGATGCGACGGACATGGGAGTGTCACCTCCCCAGCCATGTGGGGTGTCACCCGGTCGTCCCGCCGGGAAATGCTGTGGTGTGCTCGGAACCGATGCTGACTTTCGTCTTGCATTCGACCCCGGGGTGGGCGTGCGCATGACGCCTGCTAACTTCTTTTTGGAGCTTGCAATCCATGCTTTGTCCTTCGATTCAAGTGCTTCCAAGTACTCTTGTTTGATCTGTGTCTCGAGCAGGCCCGGAAAGAAGTCGCGGGCGATAATGTGGGACAAAGCGTTGCTGTAGATGTCTTCATCAAGGACAGTTGCGGGGCGTTTGATTCGCTTCGGAGGTGGTGGAGGAGGCATAAGCTGGCCAGGCGATTGCTTGACCAGCTCCTGTGAAGGAGTAGATGCCATATTTGTAGAGAAAAGGCTTGGGGAGTGAATAAAGAAATCTGGAATGAGAGGTGGATGAGTTGGTGGCGATAAGATAGCGGGTCATATGATTTTGATCTAACCGCTTTAGGCAATCATACTTCGGGCATCACTAATCTACTATGTAACATATTGCACTGCATAGATCATATCATAGCTAGGTAGTTCTAAGGTTGAGAACGGCCGACTAAGCGCGGACAGGTTCCAAGGTTGGAATCCGCACCGGGGCAGGGTTCTTGGGAGGTATTGGAAATTCTGTACCCTTATAATCAGCGCTACATGAGCGCTAATTACAATAGGAGATACTCGACTTGGGAAGATACGAAGCGCCCAAGATCCGATGCATATATTTATTGTTACAATAATTACAGGCTCAGTAGAGGCGTTCTTTTGGACTTGGTGTATATACGAAACCTGTCTTCCCCTTTCAAATGACCTTTCAAATGTCCTTTCAAATGTCGGAACCCTCTCTCTCCACATCAGAAAGACCAAAACAAAAAGTATGTATGACACAAAAATCATCTTATAGATGCATATTCAGAGACATACTCTATGCATCCATAGCTTATTTCTATTATCCAGGCATATTTAGATCTAATAGAGTTCCAAGTTAACCTTCATTTGGTATATTAAACATCTTTGGGACCACACCTTCAAGGTCTTTATGAAATTCAAATACATTCCTCCTATCACTACACCGATGCTTGCAAAGTCATGCCAACGAATGGTATTGGAGCAGATGAGCTCCTCTATAAAAATCAAAGTCTATAACGGAAAAAGAAAAACCAGGGACTAGCGAATGACCCTAAAACGAAATCCAAAATGTCCTCCAAAGGATCCTTTTCCTTTTCCTCTTTTTCTGTTTTCCCAAAATCGCCCTTCCAAGACACCAGGCCAGTAAAAATTCGCTATCGCTGAGAAATGCATAGAGGTGAAAGATTGACCACAGCTGAAACACGCAGAACAAATCAGAAAACAAAAAAAGAAAAACGTATGGCTCACAGGCAACGACTAGACAAGTTAAACATAAACACAGAGACACTAGGAAAAACACAGATCGTGGACTCGTTGAGAGAGGGTTGAGAGAGGGAGGGGTGTCTATCGGATGACAAAGCGAGAGATGTGAGATAGATATGCAAGGGGTTGAGAAAAAGGAAAAACAAAAAGAAATCGACACAAAATAGGGGGTTGATCATAATGATAGTGACACTCAGTGAGCGGTTGTTGGGAAGAGAGAGTAAGATGGTGAGCGAGCCTTCCTCCTATTCGGGTTTCTGGGAGGAACAGGAGGCAAAGGAGCCTCGAATTTTATCGGTTGGGACTCGACCTCCGAAATGGACTTGGCGCGGTCATGAAGCGACACGGTGAGATCCGCGCCCTCGAGACTCGTGCTGCTGCCATTCTGGAGGAAGTGTGCCTCGGCTAGACTCTTGGTCTGGCGGTGGTGGGAGGATGATGAAGGGCGCGTGAGGGCCTCGCCGGCTGTCATGCGGTCTGTCGGCATGAGCTCGCGGCTGCTGGACAAGCTGTGGATGAGCTCTGGGACGCTGTTCGTCGTCGAGACGGAAGAGCGGTGCTTGCGCACGATAGAGGCTGCGCGTGAGAGCATCAGGCTCTCTTGCGAGTTGCATTTGCTTATCGGGGAGAAGCTGCTGCGTGGGGAGATAGGACCCATGCCCTGCGAGAAGGGAAAGTGGCGGTCTGATTCGCCATCAGTCGTCATGTACTCCTCATACAATGGCTCGTGGGAGATTGGTTTGCCCATTGATGGGAGGATCGAGGAACTGACGGGATGGAAATAGTCTGCGCCCCGCGCGATGAACTCCTGCTGGTAGTCTGCGGTTGCCGGGGTGGGAACGGAGTGGGAGGGCATCGATTGCGCTGGGCTAGGGTCCAGGTCTGGGGTTGGTAGGGCGGAGGTGCTCAGTGGGCTTGGCTGGAGGTGTCGGGTTTTCGGGGCCAGCCACGGGCCCTCGCTGGACGCTACGCCGACTTGGGGGCGTGCTTCATCCAGGGATGTGCGAGACCAATCGAAGTTGGAGGTGGACTCGGCTGCGTGCTCATAGCAGTAGTCGATGTCTGCATCCCACGAGTCATACAATTCATCCTCGTATGAAAATCGGTGCAGACTGGCGATCGGCTCGGGGGGTGTGACCTCCACCTGGGCGCGAGGGGTATCCGTGTCCTGAATATGTTCAGGAAGAGTCGGCGAGCCCAAGGCCTCAGAGAACTTCCTAGAGAGCTCCTCGGCCACATATATCGACATTGGAGCATTGTGCTCGCTGGCGCTGGATGACCGGGGATTGGCTGGAGGTGGGCTAGTTTGAGAAGTTGTGCCAGAATGGGGGCGTCCGATGCTGGACTCAGGGCTTTCCCAATACCGCGTTCCTTCCTCTTCCTCGGGAACATCCTCCAAATCATAGTGACTGCCGATGGACGAGGTTCTGGTGCTATCATCTGCGGGTTCGGGGCTGAAAAACCGGGTTGGCTGCGCCGATTGGACACATTCTGGGTACGTCATCGAAGTGGACAAGCCAAGAATCTCGTCAATGGCACGGGGTGCCGGCTCCTGAGTCTCAGGCGGGGGAGTTTCTGGCACAGCAGGAGGTGGGGGAGTGGTGGGGCAAGACCGGGGATATCTGGAGACTGGCCGCGAGAAGTTCTCGTTGGCGCGAGATTCTTTGCGTGCGTGGCTCTGGTATGTCTTTGGAGAAACCGGCGGGCTTGTGCTGGGCACATCCACCGTGGTGGCAGTTCCAAGCGAGGCCAGGTCATCACTGGAGAAATTCCGGAAATGAATATCCTCGGCGCGGATACCCTTGAGACCGGTCTGGGGCCGCTGAGATGCTCGGATGGCCGAGAACTCGGTGACGAGATCGTTCTCACGTGTTTGATCCAAAGCCTGGAACTGCGAGGGGTTGGTATGAGTCAAGTGGTGGAAGTCGAACGGATCAGAAATGATGCTTTTCAAGCGCTCGCCTATATCGATTGTCGAGGGTCAATTGGGTCCACAATCTCAGCTGTCAGCTGAGTGGCTGGCACACTTACTGTGATCGGTATGGCGGGCACGACGGCCAAACATCTCCCTCTCAGGCCGGGCCTTCTCTCGATCGGCCTCGTCTTCCTCGTCCAGCGTGGCGACGATGTTGATCTTGCTACCCTGTCGACGTAGGATGCGGCTTCCCCGCGCCAACAAGGACCGGGACGGCTTGTCCTGCTTATCGGAGCGGAACCCCAATGATGAACCAGCCCGCTCGTCCGAGACAACTGAACTATCTGTCGAGGTCATGGAAGAGCCCGGTGAGCGGCGTGAAGAAGTGGAGGTGGTGGTATTGCTTCTTGAACGACCACTAAAGACAGATAGCCGCTTGGGGCTGTTGGCGTGGGCAATGGACCTGGAACGGATATGTGCGACATGTTCCGGTTGCTCGTTGGACGAGTTCGTGGAAGGACGGTCACTGCCGTCGTCGTTATCCCAGGCTTTAGCCATTGGGGGTGGAAAGGTCGACATGGTGGGAAGTGAAAGAGAGAAACTACACCATGATAAGATGAAATCTGGAGATCTCCGCCGACTACAACGTAAAGGAGCGAAAGTGGAAAGGAACGGTTCTCGAGTGGAACAGAACGAGGTCGTGCCGATGATAATAAATTAATAGAATACTCGATGACGGGAGCAATACAAGACACGGAGCAGTGGTGGAGCCTCGGTCAGGGGTATTTATGGTATTTACTTTTCTTTTTTCTTTTTCTTTTTCTTTTTTCTTTTTCCATTATTATTATTAGTATATGATGTTATAGTCATATCCTCTCTTATACTCCGTACTCCGTATTTTATATGTGTCATTCTGTTCCTATCACTCTCTTTGTTTGAGTTAGAACGGTTACACTATGCACTGAGCCGGGTTTATATGATTTTTTTTGGGTATTGATCATATTTCACACAAACAATCCAAAAAATGAGAAAACAAAAATAAAGCAAATACAATATACACGGGATAGTAACCAAGGTACGTACTTCGCATCCATGGATGTCAATGGACTTCGGGAATTCCCAGCACGAAGCCAAGTCTGCGTTAGTGGCATATGCATCGAGCCAGGGGGTTGGTTCTGAACGTGCTTGAGACCCGCGTGTGGGGAAAGGAACAAAGACACTATACCTTATTCAGCAAGTATCAGCCCTCTGGTACGCCCCGTTTCGATTTTGATTTATTATTATTTACCTAGGTAGTATTTATTTATTTTTTTGGTTACTCTTTTACCCAAAGTTTCAAGGTTCCAAGGTTTACCGTTAGCTTTGACCCGTGGACACGGGAGGGGAAGACACACGATACACGCGATCTTATAGATTGTTCCTACCTAGGTACGGAGTACAACACTCCATATCCATGCATATTATCCTAGTAGCAAGTGAATATCATTGGGTAAAATATCCAATTGAATACCCAATGACAAGAATTGAAACATTTCCATATTGTACTGAATCCTTACTCCTAAGGTAGCAACGTTAGGACTTGAGTGGAGAGGGAGAGACAAGCCCTTATCACGATAAGTTGGGGCGCACACTGGAAGCTTGGATCCATGGATATGGTTCCCTCTTTTGTTATTTTTTTTCCCATACAACATTGTAGAAAGGTGATACATACCTAGGTACATAGTAGTATTCTCTATAGTTATACGGAGTAATATGTTTCGAATTTGTTTCTGTTTAATATCCCCGAGCTCCTCCAGGGCTTCCCTTCCTACCATCTCTGCCTTGCGTGAGGCCTGAAACCAGAAACGCCTCGTCCCTTCCCCGCGTATAGCGGAGCCTCGGTTCAACGGTTTTCATCACAAGGTCCGGCCCTAAAACTGATTCTACCTTAGTAAAAAAATCAAACATAGGGCTTGGGAAACAGTCTCAGATCGAAATCTACTTTTTCGGGATCTGGCAGTGGGGTTCCAGAAGTCCATAATAACATTGTATTACAGAGGCAATTTAAAATATGTATTATAGCCTAGGTATACATGTGCCACGGCATTTCTCCAGTTTCTCCAGTTCAATCTAAATATCCCTGTAAAAGAAGGTGGACAGGCAAGGATCTCCCATGCAAGTTTGTTCCTGTGATCTCACCTAGCTGTAGGGGCTGTTTAGTACTTCCAAGCCTCGGGGAGTGCCGGTCTCCTATCTCATACGCATTGACAACCCTTTTTTTAAAATTTGTTAAATGAATTAAAAAAAAAGGCAAAAAGGATCAGACTACATGCAAACTTCAATTTCACACTACCTCGGGGATGCAAGATGAAGCTGAAGAATGTGAGTATCCGGGCATCGGGAGCCCTTACTCCGTCCATTTTACCTGTCGGAAAGTTGCATTTGTCTCAAGGGCGGGGTATATCCATTGTGCCTGTATTGCCTGGTATGTGCATATTATCATCTTGGAAGTACGAAGTAGTACTCCGTACGTAGAATTGATTGGTAAAATATAGAATATAGAATATACCTACTCCGTAGGTAGAGGTGAATTCTTGCACATTACTTTCTACCGTTGCGGTGACTCGTCGCACACATATTCTAATATTTAGCTGGACAGGTCTATAAGTCAACAGCCAACTTCCTATCTAGTGTGGAAGTGGACCTGAACCTGCAGCTAGCACGATTCGAAACAAGGGAGAGACCCGGGAAAAGTAAAAAAACGAAACCAAAACAAAACACCAAACTGTCTCGTTCTATTTCAGAAGTTCAATATACCGCTAGTTGTAGTGTGTGTATCGAAGTTGTAAAGTGGGTTCCTGATGATCTCGTAGTCTAGAACGTTTTCTCCGTAATAAGAACTCTGTTCCTACATTATACATATTTGTACCTGCGTTGTGCGGCAATTGATATTCTTAATTACTACTTACTTTGTACTGTGATCCCCTTTCAGGAGGTCCTAACTAGCACGTTCCCCATCTCCACCGGTCGTTCGCGTTTCGCGTCCACGATCGTCATCGGTCTGTACTGTACCTACCTATGTTTATCTTGTAGGTCCAAGCGTCCCCGGTGTTCTTCCTCAGCTTAGATCTGTGTCAGGAATATGCCCCGAAATTGAAGTGTCGTCGGCTGTCAGATCTATTTTTTTGCTTTTTTTGGTGGCATTTGGACAACAAAGACGGAAGATCAAATAGAGTAGGAGACTCTTGAAGTATAATGCAGATTTCAGTTTAAAGATGGGTCAAGCCCTCAAAAAGTAGAATTGTGGCTTAATAGTATAATATACGGGGTAGGCATAATATCGGTATAAGATGGATACGACGTAGAGGACCACGGGGATAATAATAAAGATAGGGACTACTCCGTAGAATAGCGCGAGACAAGGTTCGAAGGGATACGTTCTAGAATAACAGGGGGAAGGTAAATTAGGACTATTACTCCGTCCCCATCTTCATTTCTATGGTTCGCCTATCACGAACACGTTCCTATTCATACTTCCCGGCGATCGACGGATCTAATTCCCCTGAAACGAGGAAGTTGGTCCCCGACGCCGGCAGTTATGTAGGTACGAACTCTGTACTCCATACGGAGTACCTTTAGAATCAATTGCGAAGCCCGTCATTTTTCCGAGGTTCGACGGCCATAAATCCCAAGGTGGTAGTTTAGTATCGCGTAGCGCGCTATCATTCTACCCTGGATATGATCCAACGGTCGCCTATCTGGGTAAAGTACATATGTATGCGCCCGTTGGAACTCTGTATGTATCATGTGGAGAATAGATCAATCTAACATTGTAACTATATGGGCCCATTGACACCTGCCATATTATTGAGGCTGGATCCTTCAAACCATATTTCATTCCATTGGAGATAGGCGCACTGCAGGTCAATATTGAATGCTACTATGTGCGACGATCCGAGTGCCGGGTGATGTAACCTGGCATTGACCGTTAAACTGAGTACTACATGATAGCGCATGGTAGGGATTAGCTATGTTGATGGTACTCCGTACTCCGTACAGGGGGCCCCTTTCATGTTGCAAGGCATCTTTTGTGATACATGGGACCTCCAAGCTTGGGTTCTTCGGCACGACCAAATAGCAGACAAACAAATGGGAAACTATTGGACATAGTCGATTATCATCCTTTCTTTGTATTCTTCGTAGTCCATACATCATATTCGAGGCATTGGGAAATGTGGAATCGAAATATTGAAAGATTGTAGCCTAGAGTTTTGATTCCTAGGCACTAAAGCTCATTAATAATTAAAAGTAATATCAAGCCAAATCCATAACACCGGTTCTTTGTCGTTCGAGCCCCAAGACTGAGAAGTCCACCCAATTCTAAGTTGCATATGTTAGCTTCGCTCTTCTAGAGACAAAGGGTGAAATGCCCACAATTAGATCATGAGATCTAGATGGTCCATTCAAGGTTGGGTGATCTACCTTATTATGCACCAGATCCTCGGAGCTTGGAAGTTCCGGCCTTGTTGAGAATGACGGCCAGCTCCACAAGCAAGTCGTGGTTACTTCATTTAGCAACTCCGACGGTATCGGCGCCGCCGACATTGACAGCAGCACCAAGCTTGCCGATAACATCAGATCCGGAGTCATCATCACCGCCGTGACCAACATCACGCTTCTGATCGAGGACACCAACGGTCTTATCACCACCGACGTTGACAGCAGCACCAAGATCGCCGATAACATCACGCTTGTGATCGAGGACACCAACGGTCTTATCACCACCGACGTTGACAGCAGCACCAAGATCGCCGATAACATCACGCTTGTGATCGAGAACACCAACGGTCTTATCACCACCGACGTTGACAGCAGCACCAAGATCGCCGATAACATCACGCTTGTGATCGAGAACACCAACGGTCTTGTCACCGCCGACGTTGACAGCAGCACCAAGATCGCCGATAACATCACGCTTGTGATCAAGAACACCAACGGTTTTATCGCCGCCAACGTTAACGGCAATTCCAGCATCACCGATTACATCGCTCTGACTGGGGACGGGGACAGCAAGTGCTGTGGCCGCCAACAGGACGGGAGTGAAGAGATTGTAACGCATTTCGATATGGTTCAAACTGGAGTAGTCGTTAGACTACTTCAGCTTGGATCTGGTGGGTCTGTACTCACCAAATTAGGAGGACGTGAATTCGGAGGAGATTATAAAAGGACAATGAAGAAAACTGGTTAACTATATTCCTTGGGAAGATGACCAGATCATTTAAGTATCTATTGTCCCATCGTTCCTGATCTCTGGATAGATGTTTGCGGCATGATATCTGACGTGCTTTAGGAGCTTAAGCACCTGAGCCGCAGCTTGGATTGTGTTCTACTTGGCTACTCGGTAGACAGTGTGGACATAGATTTCGATCTATGACATATGCGTAGCTGTGATGCCCAATAAGGGTTACGGATTGCTAGTAGAAAGACTGGAGACAGCAAACCTTGAATGGCTCTGGTAACTGGCCTTGTGATTAGCATAGAAATATCTGCCGTGATGGCAGACAATAGTAATAGGGATTTCGAAAAATGATCCGTCGATTGGAGTTCTTGTTGACGATCCTTGACGATCCTTAACTTGTTTGGCGCGGTGATGCCCGAAACGGCGGCTCCCGTTGATATCATCGGTGGTCTCGATACGACGCTGCACCTGGATATCTTTTCTATATTGTATAAGGGGTTTGCCGCTTTGTTTTTGTTTTTCTTAAAACAACTGGTTTAAAAAAAATAGAAATTGAGTCATAGGATAGTTTCTTAATAGAGCACATGTGAATATCCTAACATCCTAGTATACTCTCCCTCGTACTTGTATGTCGTACCATCCAACTGGAAACTTCTGGAACCGAGCTTAAGGAAAATAGAGTTATCCCTTGTAAGAGCACGACTATCTAAGGGGTAAGTACTCCGTATCTCCATATAAAAAGGTTGGAATACTCCATACGGAGTACAGAGGACAAGTATTAGATTTAGAGATTTAGTGTCTGAAATCTGGTACCAAAAAGTTGGGTGGTATCCATTTTCCATGTCGATATAGTGGCCTTGTATGGTGCGTTATGGTCCTCTAGGTCTTACTTTTCTTGAATCCTGAACCTTGATCAAAAATAATTCCGCGTGCAGCCGGTTATACTCCGTAAAAAAATGTTGAAATGTTTAATGGATTATTTTCAGATTTAAGATTCGGACTCCGTACTAGAGGGTACTCTATACTCTGCCGATCTTAGATATCCAAAGGTAGCACGGAGGATTTCCGTGAGTTCAACATACAGCCATCTTACAGACATAGACACACACAGACACACACAGACACACAGACACCAAAAATTCTTCCCAAAAACAATGCCCTAATAAACAAATTAGCCCCCAACTCCAACTGACCCAACAATGAGACACAGCCCCTCCAACGCCAGCATTGCATATACCAATGTACTACTATATGCAGTTACGTGGAGCATGTATAATTCACTCACACATACTCCGGATGAAGTCCTCCGTAGCTGCTCGGTGTTCCGTACGGTGGGCAGGGGGGGCAGGGGAGGGCTCCGTACAGGGATCAATCCCACCAGTGACCACACGTGTAAATCCAATATTTCTGGATCCTGCGCAAGCCATGTCTGACAATCCCCGAGGCCCATTCCCCACGAACGGATTATCCCCAGCGGAATTCCGAGAAGAGGTTAGCATACTCCCAGGCAGATTCATTCGATGGAATATGAAGTTCCCACGTTCGATGGCTATAGATTAAATTCAATGCAGGTGTTGGTACGCTTGGTACGCTTGGGCCTGGCTTTGTTCCTTTTTAATTTATTTCTTTTCCCCCTCTTTCTTTTTGGAGTTTAGCTGGTACTTGGGGGGGGGGATTTCCATTCAATGTGTTTCTTACTGGGGCTTTTTAGATCTGTAAAGGGCCGGTATTTACCCGATTTCTCGATTTCCTTAGTGGGTATTTCAATGGTTTTGTTCGAACAATGCACAGGGATGTTTTTTTGGGGGAGATTGGGACTTTTGTATACGGATAACGATGGCTAATAATTACACAGTTGAAGTACAAGGGGGGAGAGAAATGTATCAATTGTAGTTCAGATGGGCCCCTGACCACAGACGCCTGGATGAGTAAAATGGAAAATAGAACTTGGAATAGTAACAAAAAAAAAGAAGTTATAATGTGGCATAAAATTCACTCCTGCATCTCCGTATCCTCGGTAGGCTTCGACGGCTCCTCGCCGAACAGTTCATCGTCATTGTCCTCATGGTCAGACTTGGCAGCTTGAACTTCGGCTTGCACTTCCTCTTCTTCTTCCTCATCCTCGTCATCATCAGCAATACGACGAGAGGCCTGGCCACGACGACGCGGCGCAGTCTCTTCAGCCGGCTCGTCGTCATCACCAAACAGATCATCCTTGTCTTCACCAGCAGACCCAGCAGCCTCTTCGTCATCAGAATCAACAACCATCTCACTGCTCTTGTACTTGCCAGGCTTCTCAGACTTGGCAGCTTGAGCCTTCACGCCCGATCGGCGTTCCAAGCGGCGACGCTTCTTGGGCGCCGTCTCGCCTTCACTCTCGGCCGCGCTGTGCGCAGCGGCATCGCCTTCATCTTCATCCGCGATGAAATCATCCCCACCCTTCTTCTTGCGCTTGCTGGTAGCCTTCTTCTTGCGCTTGACACGGTCACCAGTCTCGGAGTCCTGGGTCAATTCGGCCTCCTCCCGAGCGCGCTCCTCTTCAGCGCGCTGCGCGGCATGTCGTTGCACTTCTTCGACCATCTGTGCGCGTTCCTCGGCAATGCGCTTCTTACGTTCCATTTCGACCTCTTGGGCCTTGCGCAACTCCTCTTCCCGGATCCGCGCGGCTTCCTCGCGGGCTTCACGGGCTTGCTGGAGCTTCGCAGCGTTCTTCTCTTCGTACTCCTTCTGGCTCTGCATGGCTCTGTCAAGCTGCTTGCTGATCGTGCGACCCATGTTGGCTCGCTGCTCCAATGCGGCGCTGGGGTAGGGTGGGTTCTTCTCCTTGGAAAGACGCTCGAAGGTTTCAATGGCCTCCTTGAGACCCTCCGCTGCCTCTTGGACATCCTGGAGTGTCTTCTGGGTAGGCTGTAGACCGTATGCGAGCGAGGCGATTTGGTTCTGCACGAAAGCAACGTTGAACTGCAGGTGAAGTTGATCCGGAGACACATCGCGTGCGCGCGTGGCGTAGTCTAGTGCTGTCTTCATTGCGGCCAAGTTCGCCTCCTGCTTGCCTCGGAGCCACCATACACGACCAAGACAAGCCAGGATTTGCACATCGCGCTGGCGATCCTTCGACAATGCAGCCTCGTAGTGTTCGATAGATCGTGAGAACTGGCGGAGCTCAGCGAAGACATGTCCCAAGTTGAGGTACACGCTGGGGTCCTTGAGCGTATCGCGAATCTTGGACAAGATTTGCACAGCAGAGCTGTGGTCTTTCCTGTCGTCGATCAGGGCGATCGCAATACCCTGGGCCGCATATGCGTTCTTGGGGTCCAGTTGGAGAGCCTTGTCAAAGAACTCAACAGCACGCTGGTAAATCTTGCGACGCTTTTCCTTCTCTTGATCTGTGTCGCGGCGCATGTCACGGGCAGCAAGGAGATGCACATTGCCCATTCCAGTCAACGCGTAGCGATCGTGCTTGTCGTAGTACTGCAAGGTGTGCTTGAAATGACGCTGCTCGCTATCCTCAGCAAGGTTGGCGACGCGCTTCTTCGCCTTGCTGAGATACCATCCGTAGAGCGACCGAACTTCCAGATTTGTGCTGTCCGCTTCATAAAGCTTGCCAATTCTCTTCGGGCCCTCGTCTGTAGGGCTCTGGCGAAGGGCAATATATGTCAGACGTGCATTGGCTTCCGTGTAGTCAGCGTGACGCTCCAGAACACCCTCGTAGACTTTCTTGGCTTCGTCCCACATGTCAGCAGCCTCGTAAGTCCGTCCAAGGTTGTAGCTGATTGTGGTGACGAGCGCATCAGTATCAGTGCCATCCTCTTTTTCTTTGGATTGCACACAGGCGTTGAGCGCAGACTGGAACAAGCCACGAGCCAGAGCAATCTTCTCATTCTGGTATAAGAAGCAGCCCATGTTGTTGAGGAGCTGCGGTGGGAGACTCTCCCTAAGAGCAGCGTTCAGCTTATCCTGGTCCTCGATATCAGGTCGAGCATCCTCGGGAATTTCAGCAATCTGGATCTGTTCCAGTTGGGTCAGGCACTGCATGCTCTTATCTGGAGCCGTGCCCTCGTAGAGACGAGAAAGATAAACAAGAACCGACTCGTCGGGTGAGATATTTTGCTTCTCATCCTTCCACATAGAGCGCACTGACTCAAGCAGAGTGATAGCTCGCTTTGCCTCAGTCGATTTGTCTTCCTTGCTGCCTGACTTCTGGGCAGCGAAGACTTCTTCCGCATGAATAGCAGCAAGGAGGGTCATCGCTTCCGGGTTCTTCGATTGCTGAACAATCTTCTCTAGTCGGAACTTGGCACCGTCAAAGTCCTTGTTCGTGATCTGCATTTGCACAGCACCGAATTTGGCGGGAAGATAGCCCTTGTCGGCTCCACCGCGGGCTTGATCCGAACGGTTGTAGAACTCCGTAGCACGGGCATCGTCACCTTCATAGTGCGACTTGCGACCAAGAAGGTACCAGCCGTCACTGGCAATAGACATAACATCTGTGTGTTCGATGGCTTTGCGTGCCAATGTCTCGACGGTGGGATATGATTTGCGGAGGAGGAAGTAGCTAGCGAACAAGGAGCAGGTCATCGGGTATTCCTTGTCCAGCTTGAATGCCTTTTGGGTGTATTGAGTCATGGCTAATTTGTACATTGAGCCGAACATAGGGTCGGTGGTGGCTCGGCGGGAGCTGTCGTGGAGGTAGTAAACTGCGAGCAGGACGTTGGCGACCTTGGACTCGGGGTTCTGCATAGCGATGACGGTTAGCTATATTTTTATGAAAAACAAAAGCCTGTAGCGCTTTTCCGTAACATACCAGAGACAGCGATCTCTCCCAAGCTACCTTGGCTTGATCCTTGAAGCCCAGCTGCCACAAGCAGCATCCTAGACCA